GCATGGTGAGGGTGCCAGCTCAGACAAAGTAGGGGCTGAAAGATTTGTTCGTGATTTTAAAGATTTTGTAGATACTGTATTGATGGATATATTCCACAACAAGTGTTTAATTGTGAGGAGACATGGCTATTCTGGAAAAAATTGCCGAAGAGGACATACATTACCCAAGAGGAGACGTCACTGCCCGGACACAAGCTAACTTGGGCTAACTTGTGTCAGGATAGGCTAACTCTTGTGCTGTGTGGCGATTTGAAAATTAAACCCTTGCTCGTGTATCATTCCGGAAATCCAAGAGTTTTAAAAAAATATATAACGTGCAGAAAAACTGTGATGTACAGTGGTTTGCCCTGCCATCAAAAAATATCTGCAAGAGAAAAGTTTGACACTAAAGGGCCTGCTTCTCGACAATGCTCCTGCTCATCCTCCAGACTTGGAGGATGCATTGTTGGTGCCACTTTTTTTTTTCTAGGGATATTCCTGCATGGGCCCTAAGTTTCTGGCTAATGAACCAATGACATGAAGGAGGAGTTTTCAACCTACCTTGTGTTAGGTGTGCAGGGGTCAATAGGCTGAACATAATGTCAGGAGCAAAGGGGGGCGTTTGCGTCTTCAAACACAATTGTGACCATCTTCATCTCTTCGAACTATCCTAAATGCTCTCTTCACCTGTCTGACCAAATTGGGTGTCCAGACCACCTTTGAATCTGAAATTGTAAAATTAATAGTGATTCAGAATATTCAGTCCATTTATACTAACAAAATTATATACAGTATACTGTAATTGAAATTTTACAGAATGATAAAGGCAATTTAGTAACTTTGTTAAAATGCACATGGGGGAAATACATGAAAATAGGTTAATATGGTTTGTAAGGTTGATGGGAAATGTTTATTACTTTTATGATTTAAAAGATGTATAGCCCTGATACTCCATCCTGGGTGCATTCCACCAGGTAATGACCACAGCAAAAGTTTTCCACGAGGCTCTATTGTCACACAAACTTTTCACATTTTCAAACTTGATTCATCTTTTTCCCCCTCATTCCAGGGGTTTTCTTTAAAAGGTCTTCATGCAAATGCCTTGGTTTCTCACAAATGATGGCCTCTGAAATGCTATCACCTGCTAACTCTTTGTTGTGTATCCAAATTAATAAAAACTTTTCAACATCCTCAAGTGTTTGTGTTCTTTGTTTCGGGATTGTTGATATGCCTTTTGCCACTTTAATGCTCATAATGTCCTTTTTCTTAGCAAGTATAGTGCATATTGTTGACATAGATTTGTTGTACTGCCTAGCTAGTTCAACAACCTGTGCACCATTTTGATGTTTATGAATGCTCTCTTGTTTTTCCTCTATGGTCATTCTCACATGTGTTTTCTTGGCTTGAACCTTACCACTGGCTTTCTTGGGACTCATGGCAAGATATATCATAACAAATTTTATGTTCAAATAGCCAAAAATCCCAAAACAAATGTAATGCTTTACAAAGAATTCAGGCGCGATACTTACTAGGCAGGAGACACTGGTAAACTGAGGTGCGATCACCATGCCACCACACGCTAGGTCAGCCCATACGTATATCAACAAACTCCTTTCCCGAGGCAAAGTTTGTAACCCGATTCAAATTTTTTGAAGAAATTAGGCTCGTAACCCGAAAAGTTCATAAATATTCATTCGTAAGCTGAGGTGTCACTATATATAACTAAAAAATTAAACTCAGGATTACTTTCAACCCCCACCCCTTTTGCTCTACTCCATCGCCACCTACCTTCACCCCCCTCTATGATGTACTCTTCCATAGACACCTACCTTTGCCCCCCCTCCTCCCCTCTACTCCTCCATCATCACCTACCTTCACACCCCCTCCCTTCTCCTCCTCCATCGTCACCTTCCTTTCACCCTCCTCTATGATGTACTCTTCCATAGACACCTACGTTCACTGCATATAATGCTCCCCTCTACTCCTCCATCGTCACCTACTTTCACCCCCCCCCCTCCGCTCTACTCCTCCAGGGTCGCAGACAATTTCACGAGCGTGAGAACTACGAGTTCTCTAACCACTCTCACACTCCTACTCTCTCACCAGTGAGGGGGAGGGAAGGAGGGAGGAAATGAAGGAAGAAAGGTGGGGGAGAGAGAATAGGCAGGGGGGAGGAGGGCCTAGATACATTTCTTCCATATAGATAGGTAGACTGAGGGAGAGCTGCTTGCCAAGAGCCCTATCAGACAGGCTTCCTATTCCTCAACCCTCCCTAATATGCCACATCCTGGTCAGGACAACTTGCTCGATTGTTATTCTTGGTGTGACTCGAGAACTGACCTCGAGGCGGGGCATGGGCATGGATTATCTCCCTGGGGCACGCACCTCCCTGCCCCAGCTCTCCCTCTCTCTCTCACATAATCTATCAAGGGTCTAACATGAGGTCATTGTGCCTACCAGAAGTGTATATGTCCAAGGCTGGCCACCTGTCTGGACCATTCAAATGTATAAACACGTAATTAGTCTATTAAAATTATATATAATGCTACAATTATAAATTAATTTGTTCATGGTCATTCGTTTATCAGTATTTTAATATGAGGTATATATACGCATGTATGTATACGTTGACGTACACATATGATTATGTGTATGGAATGATTATGATTATGTGTAATCATATATGATTATATCTAATGGAATGCATTAGTAAGTGATGTGGTGGAGGCTGACTCCATACACAGGTTCAAGTGTAGATATGATAGAGCCCAATAGGCTCAGAAACCTGTACACCTGTTGATTGACGGTTGAGAGGTGGAACTAAAGAGCCAGAGCTCAACCCCAGCAAGCACAATTAGGCGAGTATATGAACAAATGCACATGTACACTTTCAAATGAATTAAGATACCTTGAGATACACAATGACTTAGTTTAAATAGTTTAAACACATTATGGTACTGATTTTGACATGCTGATGTCTGGAAGGGAGAGGGGGTGTGGGGGGTTATTGTCTGAGGTGGAGGACCAGAGGAGGGGGTCAGTGGAAGGATGGTGGCTGGAGGGATGCCATTGTTCTAATGGTTATGAAAACAATTATTGATGGCAGGAATTCAGTGGGTGTGTACAGTACTTCACCCGCACCATCACCATACTGTGCCCTGCTACAAACCCCCCCCCCCACTCCACCCATGCTGTGCGGGGCGTATTACACATTATGGGATAACCGACTGTCTGTCCATTCCTGTCTGCTCGTTATGCTGCCCTTCCTTTTGAAAATTGTCTGCTTTATCGACTTCCTTCAAGACCACACGTTAGCCTCTTATCACGCCCTCTTACCACTCTCAGGGAGCCGGCTCTTCTATACAATAGTTACCACTCAGTCCCCAAGGTGAAAGAGTGTCCGGGCATATGACTTGTTACGTGTACTTATTTGCGATTCGTTTGGGCTGTCACGTGTAGTGATTAGTGTTGGGTAAGGCTAGGCCAGGTCGGGTAAGGCTAGGCCAGGTCAGGTCAGACTAGGCCAGGTAAGGCTAGGCTAGGTAAGGCTAGGCCAGGTCAGGTCTGGCTAGGCCAGGTCAGGTCTGGCTAGGCCAGGTCAGGCCAGGCCAGGCTAGGCAGGGTGAGAGAAGTAAAGCGGCAGGTACTTACGTTTCCGAGAAAGTAGCGGCGGTAGTATATTGTTGATTTAGATTCGGCGACATCCTGAAGCTAGTAGGTGGCGACCTCATCGCTCTCGAACTTCTTGTTGTTGTAGGGGATACGAGGCACACCCAATATCCCCCTTACATTGATCACATCGCACACTAATATTTTTACTATTTCGGACACCAGATTTGTCTGTTTCGTATATGTATAATTGTTCAATATTAAAACCACAATAGAATGCTCTTAACAGTTACAATTTTCAACTTAACAGCCATATAGTTGGCAAGAACGCCGCCCGCTAGTGTAAATGTTCCGAACCTTAATGGAATCTGACCCATATATCAATCAGGACAACCCATGTGTTGCGTTTCCAAAAGGGTCGCCATGTTAGAATCGGTGAACGCCCTAGTAATATTGTTGAAAACATCTTAATAACTTATTAAACCAAAGGTCTTTTTATGTCAGAAGAACGGCAGAAACTGGATCTATATATGAAAACTCTTTCAGGACAAAATTTAAAGTAAAACTAAAGATATTTGTAGTTGTATAAAAGTTGCATTTTTCATCGGTCGTAGAGCCGGAAATCCGCAATATTCATCTCAGAACAATGCTTGTTTCACGCAGAATCGTTAATAAACGTAAGATTTTTATACGTCTCTAGAAAGATAGAAACAATCTTACTTTAATCTAGTTTTACTTTAAATTTTGTCCTGAAAGAGTTTTCATATTTAGATCTAGTTTCTGCCGTTCTACTGACATAAAAAGACCTTTGGTTTAATAAGTTATTAAGATGTTTTCAACAATATTACTAGGGCGTTCACCGATTCCAACATGGGCGACCCTTTTGGAAACACATGGAAACACAACACTTGGGTTGACCCGATTGACAGACTGGTTATATTCCAACAGGGTCTGAGACACCTTCATTTGATAATTACTGTTCCTAGTATGCACATGTTTATGAACCAAATATTATTAATTCTGATTACACCAGTGATCAAACTAGCCACAATTGCATAGTTTTTAAAAGTAGTAGTAATGCTATGAACATTACAGTGACAATAGTTCAAAGTTATGGGCATTTTGAGCCTAATTGCTCTTTCCAGTGCTGAAATTTAAGATTATGCTGGATATACTTAATAAAACTTAACTTTTTTTGTAACTACTCCATTTGCTTTTGGAGTATACTGGCATTCATTAAGGGGGATGAATAAAACCATGTTTACAAAACATGAACATGTTTGACATACAAATTATTTTGCAAAACATTCTGTCCTGAAAGAGTTTTCATATATAGATCTAGTTTCTGCCGTTTTTCTGACATAAAAAGACCTTTGGTTTAATAAGTTATTAAGATGTTTTCAACAATATTACTAGGGCGTTCACCGATTCCAACATGGGCGACCCTTTTGGAAACGCATGGAAACGCAACACTTGGGTTGACCCGATTGACAGACTGGTTATATTCCAACAGGGTCTGAGACGTAGATAATAGGGTGCTGACGAGGCTTGTCTCACTCTGCCCCACGTCTACGGCTCCTTGTCTCACCCTGTCACACGTATACGGCTCCCTGTCTCACCCTGTCACACGTATACGGCTGCTTGTCTCACCCTGTCACACAACGTGAGTTACCAGTAAACTTTGCTCAGCCAAGTTTTAGGTTAATTAAGTTTATTATGGGCCCCATCGTGTGAGCGGTGGTTGAGAGGTTACAACTGTCACACATTGGGTCTAGGAGCAGACCCCAGCAGTTTACATTATTAGTACACATCTTATCTTGAGGTATTTCGGGGGTTAGCGTCCCCGCGGCCCGGTCCTCGACCAGGCCTCCTTTTTGTTACACATCCCCAGGAAGCAATCCATAGCGGCTGTCTAACTCCCAGGTACCTATTTACTGCTAGGTAACAGGGGCATCAGTGTGAAAGAAACTGCCCATTTGTTTCAGCCTCCACCAGGGATTGAACTTGGAACCTCAGGACTACGAATCCGAAGCGCTGTCCTCTCAGCTGTCAGGCCCCCCCCCCGTCAGGCCCACATAGTCTTAATTGTCCTCAAATTAGTGATCAAATTAAAGTAATTTCAAACTAATGGATCTGGCCGGTGACTCCGGCTTCACCCGTTTAAATACACATGGACACGCCTCACTTATATTGCAGTATTTCGTGAGGGTGAGTTATGAAGTCTTTACATGAGCAAGGATTGCGAATGCGTTGCGTCCAAAATCCCAAGCCACTGTGGATTAAGGAGGTCAGAGGGTTCTAAGTAGGCTGAGTTAGGGTGGGTGGGTGGGTTTTAAATGTCTGTTGGCAAGCTGTTGTGTGTTTGAGATACCCCAGATGGTTCATTGAATGATTTTAAAACTTACTTAATATATCCCAGAAAGACCTAACCCAGCCTACCTGCATGGCAGATTGAGTGCAAAGCCAATAACATGCATGGCATTTCGGGCAGGTTCTTTAGCTCGCCAAAAAATGTAATAATAGGTACATTGTAACATAATTTGAGTTCAACATAATAACTACATTACAAATTGATAGAATAGATTTTACTGATGAAGTTTCATGTCTTAATTAAGTACTAAAGTGGGTGAGTGGGTAGCACAAGGTGGGAACTATGAGGATAAAATTATGTACTTTTTGGTTTTACTTTTTAATAAAGTATAGGTTGGATAATGTTTTAATTCATTAGGGAGCAAGTTCCATAACCTGGGTTCTTTTATTAGCATGGAGTGTTTGCACAGAATTACTATGACTCAAAGAATATGAGTGTACCATTAATTTATGTATACGTGTTTAGGTGTTAAGACACAAAGTGCTTAGTGGGTTTTTATGATTAATATAATCTTGGTTACAGCAGTCAATTGTTGATGAAATGTGTCATGATAGGTAAGATGAGGCCCGGAGCATAGGTCAAGAAACCTTGAGTGAGGCCAGGAGTAGAGGGCTCAAATGTGGGACAAAAGCTGTTGCTAGAGTGAGGGCAGAATTTGTCTGTCTGCTCTCTAACGAGGCTGCAGCATCTCGTGAGAGAAGGAATTAGAATCGATGAGTGTTACGTTGTTGCTCGTGAATGTCGATGACATTGAAGATTTTTGGTATCTCTCAATCGTCTGTACTGAACCACTGTTCGAGTTAGAATAATGATGATTTGCTGTTGAGGTCTTGTATTGCAAGCTTCTTCTGACTTTGCTAAATTGACCAACAGTTAGCAGCTTGCTTCAGTGTCTTTGGTATGCTTGGAATTCTTTGGGATCAGTTATATGGAATTAACAGGTACTTCTAATTATCTGCATTGACACTAATGAGAGTTTGGAGCAAGTATATTACATCTTTATATTGTTGCTACAAAATATATATTTAATTCTAGTTCACATGTTCTAGGGTTCTATTACATCTATCAAAGAAGTTTCACATTGGGATTAGAACCAAATCATATGTTTATTCAGGTAAAGTAAATACATACAATGTGAGTTAACAAACTTTGCTACAAAATATATATTTAATTCTAGTGTGTTGTTCTAGGGTTCTATTACATCTATCAAAGAAGTTTCACATTGGGATTAGAACCAAATCAAATGTTTATTCAGGTAAAGTAAATACATACAATGTGAGTTAACAAACATAATGTTGGATTTATAGATAGAGCTAGTACATACAATGCCTAAAGCCACTAATAATCACAGCATTTCGGGCAAGGTGTGGGGAAAAAACACTTAGACTAGAACATGATACTAATTGAGATCAAAGCATACATTGAATTTAAAAAAAAATGGAGGGGAAAGAAAATTACATGGTGGAAAACAGCAGTTATATAAGTTGGTCAACAAACAGTATTGTTTGAAAATAGCAAGACATGGGTTGACATTTAGGGGGTAAGGTGGATCACATGGAATTTATTAGGTAGTACTTGGTTTTTATCTTAAAACTGGTTGAGAGAGGTATAGCCTTTGACATGATTGGGAAGGTCATTCCACATTCTGGGTCCCTTGACTTGCAGAACATTTCTAGTTTGGTTAAGTCGCACTCTTTAAATATTAAATAGGAATTTGTTTCTGGTGTGGAGCCCATGGGTTCTATAACAGAATCAAGGAGTAAGGTTTTGTGTGTAATTAGCACAAGAGAATGTGTGGAATGAGTGTATGTTTAGCATGTTTAGGGATTTAATATTCATTGTCTACATAAACAATCTACCAGAAGGAATACAGAATTATATGAACATGTTTGCTGATGATGCTAAGATACTAGGGAAGCCAAGAAACTCGGATGATTGTCATGCCCTTCAAGAAAACCTACACAAAATAATAATATGGGGCAACACCTGGCAAATGGAATTTAACGTGAATAAATGTCATGTTATGGAGTGTGGAATAGCAGATAATAGGCCACAAACAACCTACAAATTGTGAAAAAGGCTTAAAGAATTCTGACAAAGAAAGTGACATAGGGGTGGTCACAGTGTTCAAGAGAGAACTGGATAAGCACCTCCAAAGGATACCTGATCAACCAGGCTGTGACTCATACGTCAGGCTGAGAGCAGCCGCGTCCAACAGGGTGGTTGATCAGTCCAGCAACCAGGAGGCCTGGTCGACGACCGGGCCGCGGGGACGCTAAGCCCCGGAAGCACCTCAAGGTAACCTCAAGGTAAGGTGGTTTAAGAACAGAAAACTGTCACCTGAGGACCATTTAAAGAACACTGTGCAAGAGAAGTCTATGCTGAGCTTTCCAACTGCAGAATTGCTTCTAAATAGATGGGTGGCAAAATATTAAAGAAATTTTTCATGACCTTGTGGGCCACCGAGAGAATCCTCTCAGAAAAAAAAATTCTTGTAGAATAATGAATTTGCATGTACCGTAATGCTTTGATAAAGCATTGCAGTCTAAAGTTCTTGTATGAAAATAATACACTGGAACCTAGGAAACAATATGTCCAAAAATTAAAAATTCATGGAAAGTGTGCAACTAAAATTATCCTATACACTACTTAAATTGGGTCAAACTTGTAAACAACTGAGTGAAGTAGTCAGTGAGATGTACTCATCTCTTAATAGGTTGGGCTGGTGCAATGAGCATTTTCATGTTTTTATGAGAACAAGTAGGGATTGTTAAACACTGCATATTTAACATAAAGTAGTTGGTTTCAGTGCATTACTTCATTTCACTGTAAATTTTCTGTATTTTCTACACTTGCCTATCACCAATTTTAACAACAGTACTGTATTATTATTATTATTGTCAGAAAAGAAACCAGCAGTAACTACTTCCAGCAAATTCAGTACATCATCTTCAAACACTGCTAGCAAAATCATGCCTGAAACAATACAGTACAGTACTTGCAATTTTAATGCATGTAGTTAAAAGATGTATACCTGTTCATCCCATGTAAGTTAAAAAGAACACGAGTAGGTGCATTATTGATACTAAACTAAATAATTTTTTGGAAAGTCTTTTTATTGTATATTTCCAAGAATTTATTTTTTCCTGACTTCATTTCACAGATGCCAGCTTTAAATTCACCGGTGCGCTTGCTGAAATTATCATTGGAAGCTCTGTGTAAAAATATAAACACAATGGTTGCTAAAGCTACCCACTTGACAGAATCTACAGATGATGTTTTAGAAGTGGCAGAGGAAGAAATCCAGGTGCTAGCCAAAAAACAAATTGATGAATTATATGCTGGTACTTTATCTACTGCTGTGCCTAGAAATCCCTGTAGGGCAGCCCTTAATCTAAAAAGGGTGAAGACATTAATACAGAAGCGGGGTGACTTTTCACAGAAACTATGCGAGTACCTCCAGCACCTGCCTGCAGCATTTTTAAATGAAGTGTTCAACAAAGTACTGGCTAATATTGCAAAGATCATTGTATATGATGAAGAACAGATAGAAAACTTTATAGATGAAAGATGGTCATTTGCTCCAAGAGTGCGAGTGGCATTTCATTTTCTTTTGAAAAGCATGCTGTTTCCTTACGTTTCAACTTTGAATATTAGTCCTGTCACAAATGCATTCTTTTTGGTCCTTGCTGAGTATCTTATGAAACATGATAATTATAAAGATACTGTATTTGTTAAAGAAATGGAGGGAAAGAAAAGGAATATATTTGCAGGGGGAATTACTGCCAATAAAAACAGTTTGTTAAATCTTACTACCTTAAGTTTACAGAATTTGGCTGATGGGGAGTTATTGTGGCTTATTAGCAGTTATTGTCCTAACCTGTGGCATTTAGATATAAGTGGTAATCTTTTTAATTTGCAAAGATATTGTGTAATAGAAAAAAGTGCGGGTGGATATGTAACTGCAGTAGATAAGAATGGAAGGAGAAACTATGAAGAAGCGGAGTTTGTTCATTCAGTAGGTAACTTGTATGGGAATCAACGTATTTCACAAACTTCGGATAAATATGATGGCTGCCCAGGTGGTTGTAAGTACCTCAAAACACTGTTACTTCCAGATGTGAGGTGGGAAAAACTTGAAGAAGATATACTGTTGGATGACGTACAACAACTACTGATGTATGCTCCAGACATGGAGGAGGTTACTGGAGTGTGTCTGTTCTATGTTTTATGCAAAATCAATGAAATGGAGTATCCTCCTATCATGCTGAAACTCAAGAAATTTGATGGTAAAACTGGAGGGCATAGTTTAATTGGTGTTTCTCCCGCACGGTTGAGGCAAGTTCGCTTGCCATTTATAATGGACGTAAATATTGATCTCAATGTTTTCATGCCTCCAGTGACACTTGAAATTTTCCCTAATATGAAACATCTTACTCTAACTCCTTATGATTATCGCAGCTATACATGTAATGATATATTACCATATATGAAAAATCTTCACACTCTTGATTTAGAATTAACACATGAGCTATCAATTTCAAACATGTGTGATATTGCAGAGAATTGTAGATCACTAGAATACTTGACATTAACTTGTCTAGCACTGAGAATGCAAGCCCTGGATCTTAGTGAAGACCAGATTAACAAAGAACAGCTAGAAAGAATTTCATCTCCACCTGTGGTTAGAATGGATGTTAAAAATAAAAAGGAATATGAACCTTGTAAATCACTTGGTGCACTGAAATCATTTCCAGAGTATGCAAAAGCTATAATGAAAATTGCCCCGGCTCCATATGAAAAGAGTAACAGTCAGATACCAAATTTTTCCAAACTTCATACTCTGCAGTTTTTTGACATCCGTAGTGTTGATGCAGCGGCTTTGTACAAATGTATCAAGGGCAGTCCTAAGATTCAAACTCTGACATTTGTGGCACTTAAAAAAGGTGATAATTGTAATATTGAATTAGATGATGATTTTGTTGGAAGAATTGCTCCCTTAATGAGAAGACTAAGAGATATTACAATTTCTGCACAGGATGATACAAGGTGCAATATTGTATTAGATAAATTTACTGGTATGGCCATTGAGCACTTAGTGAAGTTCTGCAGTGACATTCAATCCATTGGTACAATGAGTAATTGGAATATAACTCTTGATGAAGTTAGAGCACTAAACTACTGTTTTATGAAAAATAACTATATACTGAGGTTACATTGAATTGGTGCATATATACAAGTAAACATGACAAATGAATTGCTAAAATTTGAGAAAATCATTTGGAGCAATTTGGGAATTTGAACCAGTATTCTAGTAACACCCAGACGCTTAAGGCAAGTGTCTGGGAGTCACTGTAACGCTGCTTCAAATCTTTGTATTGCTCTAAATGATTTTCTCATTGATATATAATGCATTGTGGTTTCTTTGTGTTATGTGCTAAAACTTGTAGATGTAAATAAACTATGGTATTAGTACAGTAATAATTGCAAAATAAGGTATTTAAAATAATTTTTAAGAACCTGAAAAGCGAACAGTGAATTGTATGTGTAATTTGCCTAGTTGCATGTATAACTTGTCTTGTGTGTGTGTGTAAATTGCCTATTTGTGTGTGTGTATGTATAACTTAACTAGTTGTGTGTGTGAGTATGTGTATGTAACTTGCCTAGTTGTGTGAGTATATGTAAATTGCCTAATTGTGTGAGTGTTTGTGTAACTTGCCTAGTTGTGTGTGTGTATGTATGTTTACATGCAAAGATAATTGATTGGATGAAATGCTGAGAATATAATGATGTTTTGATTCCATAATTTCAAAACTTAAATTAAACAAGATTCATTCTTTTACTTTGTCTCCTGCATATTAACTTGTTTACCAAAAATATCTGGTTAATGAAGCATGTAAAGTAATACGTACTATACAAAGCCCTCATTGTGAGGTTACATACTTGGATTTATGTAGTAAATTAAGTTTTGTTTGTAGCTGGAGTTGCGATAATTTATGTGAGGGGGAAGGGAAGATGTGTTCACTTATTTAAATAGTTATCTTGTGTTGTGCAACCTAGTAGTTGGTACACTATCAGTGATCAGTTGAGTGCTTCTGGAGCACTCAACTAGAAATTGGTGTTTCATTACATTTAATGCTGGTTTTTCCTGAGGCAGTTCATCCTGGATGGTTTTGTACCAGGCAACATCTACCTTGACTGGTAGGTTTGGGCTCCCAACCAGTCTGTAACTGTACGCCAAGGTTAGTTTGTTTCCCAGTTCTCTGAGTTCGAGTTCCTGGTTTTTGAAACACACCCAATAATGACACAGGGTGATAACTATTATCCACCTAACAGGTGGCATGTCAAGAGGTAAAAAGAATGACCATTGACATTAAACAAAACTGATGCACTGAACGGCTTTCAATCTTGCACACAGCAAGAGCATTTTAGGTGAACTGAATCATAGTTGAGCCACACCAGAAACCCTTTGGGTTTTTCCAGCTCCAGATGATGAAAACAAAGCTGCGACACCAATTGCAGGGGTTGCCCGCCTGCAAACATTGAACACGCCTTCAGGTACAAGGACAGCTGGGAAGTGTGTAAACAGCACATTGCAGAGAGATATGACATGAACCCTCACTTGCCCTCAACAAAAGAACCCTGACTGCCCCACCCCAGAGCCTTGCAGAGGAGTTAAAAACCCACTCACAGGAAGGCATCCTCCACAGGAGTCTGGCCTCTCAGGTATAGACACCCTCACCTCACCAGGGAGAGTAACTCTGGCAGGTAGAGGCAACACCAGCAAGCACCTAGGAAAGCTAACCCTTAAGCTCATGTAGCTTCAGTTGAACATTTGTTCAAGGTTAACACAACAAGAGGAGCATATAAACATGCATATGGAGCTGTACGCTAAAGCAGGAAAAAACACAAGCAAGTGGCCCCTGCAAAAGTCCAAATATAGCCAGCACTTCTCTGGAATACTGGGACCAAAGGCGACATAAAGAACATGTGCAAACAGGGTCGCACCAGGTGAATGACTGATGGATTGAGCCTGAGCAGACTGGAAGCTCCCAGGTCTGGCACCTGTAGGGTGATCTTGCATCCCCTGCTCCTTGTGCCTCTTTGAGTGGACTAGGTTTTGGCCTGTGGTTTCCAATGTTTTTTTTTTTTAATGTCTTGCAAAGACCTTTTTGTGATATGTGGGGAACTATCCTGGCAGTAACTACAGGGAGCCACTGAGGCAACCCTCTCAGAAAAACAATTTGTTCTTATAGAATACAGTGGTACCTTCGTTTACGAATTTAATCCGTTCCCAGAGACAGCTCGTAACCCACAACTAATTTTTCCATACGAAATAATGTAAATTGAATTAATCCATTTCACACTCCCAAAAATATTAACTTCAAAATACATTTCATACATAATAAACATAAATATTTTGTACTATAGTATGCACAAGTTATAGCTTGCCTTTATTGATGACCTGTTGGCATATGGAAGATGGAGAGGAGGGGGGTGGGGGAGGAGGAGGAGGAGAGGTGTTAGTGTTTGGAAGGGGAGCCCCTTTCCATTATAACATCAGGCAGTGATGACTTGTTTGGGGTACTCTCTCCTGTGTTTTCCCTGCAAACCACTAGGACCTGGTTGTGGCTCATTGCTTGTTTGTCTCGCTAAGAATGTTTCCATAGAGACTTTGTTTTTCCTCTATGGTCATTCATAGATGGGACACCACAAGCGTAGCTCTCATCTTGTAACTACACTTAGGTAATTACACTTAAGTAATTATAAAGTAGTTGCTTTCAGTGCATTACTTCATTTCACTGTAAATTTTCTGTATTTTCTACACTTGCCTATCACCAATTTTAACAACAGTATTATTATTAGTGTTGTCAGAAAACAAACCAGCAGTAACTACTTCCAGCAAATTCAGTACATGATCTTCAAACACAGCTAGCACACAACATGCCTGAAACCATACAGTACAGTACTTGCAATTTTAATGCATGAAGTTAAAAGATGTATACCTGTTCATCCCATGTAAGTTAAAAAGAACATGAGTAGGTGCAATATTGATACTAAACTAAATAATTATTGGGGAAATCTTTTTGTTGTATATTTCCAAGAATTTATTTTTCCTAACTTCATTTCACAGATGCCAGCTTTAAATTCACCGGTGTGCTTGCTGAAATTATCATTGGAAGCTCTGTGCAAAAATATAAACACAATGGTTGATAAAGCTTCCCACTTGGCACTCTCTACAGATTACGTTTCAGAAATGCCAAACGAAGAAATGCAGGAGCTAGCCAGACAAGAAATTTATGGAATACATGCTGGTATTTTGTCTTCTGCTAATAGTAGAAAAGTCTCTAAGTTATCATTAGCTGTTAATTTACAAAGGTCAGATGCATTAGAAAAGAAACGTGATGACTACGCCGAGATATTGCGTGAGTACCTCCAGCACCTGCCTGCGGCATTTTTAAATGAAATGTTCAACCAGGCACTTGCTTCAATTACAAAGATCATTGTATATGATGAAGAACAGATTAAATACTACGTAGATGAAAGATGGTCATTTGTTCCAAGAGTGCGAGTAGCAGTTAGATTTCTGATGAAAAGCATGCTGTTTCCTTGTGTTTCATCTGTGAATATTAGTCCTGTCACAAATGCATTCTTTAAGGTCATTGCTGAGTATCTTTTGAAACATGATAATTATAACGATACTGTATTTGTTAAGGAAATGGATGCAAAGAAATGGAAATGTTTTCGATTTTCACATGATATCAGACACAATTTGTTAAATCTTACTAGTTTAAGTTTACAGAATTTGGCTTATGGAGAGTTATTGTGGTTTATTAGTACATATTGCCCTAACCTGTGGCATTTAGATATAAGTGGTAATCTTTTTAATTTGCAAAGATATTGTGTAATAGAAAAAAGCGCGGGTGGATATGTAACTGCAGTAGATAAGAATGGGAGGAGAAACTATGAAGAAGCGGAGTTTGTTCATGCAGTACGTAGCTTGTATGGGAAACAACGTACAGAAATTCCGAATAGATTTATAGCATCCCCAAAAGGTTGTAAGTACCTCAAAACACTATTACTTCCAGATGTGAGGTGGGAAAAACTTGAAGAAGATATACTGTTGGATGACGTACAACAACTACTGATGTATGCTCCAGACATGGAGGAAGTTACTGGAGTGTGTCTGTTCTATGTTCTATGCAAAATCAATGAAATGGAGTATCCTCCTATCATGCTGAAACTCAAGAAATTTAATGGTAAAACTGGAGGGCATAGTTTAATTGGTGTTTCTCCCAAAAGGTTGATGCATGTTCGCTTGCCATTTATAATGGACGTAAATATTGATCTCAATGTTTTCATGCCTCCAGTGACACTTGAAATTTTCCCTAATATGAAACATCTTACTCTAACTCCTTATGATTATCGCAGCTACACGTGTAATGATATATTACCATATATGAAAAATCTTCACACTCTTGATTTAGAATTAACACATGAGCTATCAATTTCAAACATGTGTGATATTGCAGAGAATTGTAGATCACTAGAATACTTGACATTAACTTGCCTAGCACTGAGAATGCAAGCCCTGGATCTTAGTGAAGACCAGATTAACAAAGAACAGCTAGAAAGAATTTCAGTTCCACCTGTGGTTAGAATGGACGTTAAAAATAAAAAGGAATATGAACCTTGTAAATCACTTGGTGCACTGAAATCATTTCCAGAGTATGCAAAAGCTATAATGAAAATTGCCCCGGCTCCATATGAAAAGAGTAACAGTCAGATACCAAATTTTTCCAAACTTCATACTCTGCAGTTTTTTGACATCCGTAGTGTTGATGCAGCGGCTTTGTACAAATGTATCAAGGGCAGTCCTAAGATTCAAACTCTGACATTTGTGGCACTTAAAAAAGGTGATAATTGTAATATTGAATTAGATGATGATTTTGTTGGAAGAATTGCTCCCTTAATGAGAAGACTAAGAGATATTACAATTTCTGCACAGGATGATACAAGGTGCAATATTGTATTAGATAAATTTACTGGTATGGCCATTGAGCACTTAGTGAAGTTCTGCAGTGACATTCAATCCATTGGTACAATGAGTAATTGGAATATAACTCTTGATGAAGTTAGAGCATTCAACTACTGTTTTATGAAAAATAACTATATACTGAGGTTACATTAAATTGGTGCATATATACAAGTAAAAATGACAAATGAATTGCTAAAATTTGAGAAAATCATTTGAAGCCATTTGGGAATTTGAACCAGTATTCTAGTAATACCCAGACGCTTAAGGCAAGTGTCTGGGAGTCACTGTAACGCTGCTTCAAATCTTTGTATTGCTCTAAATGATTTTTTCATTTATATATCATGCCATTGTTATTTCTTTGTGTTCTGAAGAAGGGGAGTGTAGTGGAGAGCATCATTACGTACTGGCCAGAGTGTAGGCTGGCTATTCATAAAGCCTGGTTGTGGCCTCGAGACTCTTCCAGAGGACTCAGTCGAGTTCTGGGGTGAATAGCTTTTATCCTGTCGTTGGTGAGTGAGTTAAAGCAAACATCTGGAAATCACTAGAATGCTGGATCAAAGCACTGCATTTCTCCAAATGATTTTCTCATTTACATATCATGTCATTGAGATTTCTGTGTTGTGAGCTAAAAATTGTACAGGTAAATAAACCATGGTGTTAGTACCATGGTTTATTAGTATTAGTAATATTGTATTGTGAAATAATGGATGGTCCTTCCGGATGACCACTTTGTCCCAAGTTTGTCTCATTCCTGAGGACGGTGCTTGGATGACTTTCCTGGATTTATTGGCACGTCAGACGTATTTACGTATTGGCACGTTCCTGTACATTCAGGGTTCGAGGATTGATTAGGTTTTGTGTTGAAGTAGCAGGCTTGCTGCTTATTTGTTCTCCAGTTTGGCCTCAATCTGACTCCACATATGTCCACATGCTTGGCTTGAGTTGTCCTTTATTGGGGGTTCGTGTTTATTCCTACCTTGACAACTGACTGGTGTGGATGGGACACCAGGGGTGTCCCAGCTGGTTCGCATGTCTGCTAAGCAGGAATCTGGTTCTTTCCCAGCTCACCAGGTCACCAGTTACTGGTGAACAGGCGGAAATTCCAGTTGGTTCCTCTTGGGTTCGGACTTTGCTGAGCCTCACTTGGGACTATATTAGTGTTGCTTTTCTTGCCTCTGGTGGCCTTGACCCGGCTGCAATGTCCATCTGTTGATGTTGAGTTGGCCCTGGGTGATTCAGCGGTGGCTCACATGGTTGTGCAAGAGTCTGAACTTTACCTGCCTACTTTTTCCTCTGAGCAAGGTTTGGCTTCAGCAGCTATTCTGGTTTCTCCAGGGCAACCCATTTTGCTGCCACCATGACTGTTGGGTGTGGGCTCCATTGCCGTTTCACTGGGTGCTGTGTCTCTAGCTTCCTCTTTGGGGTTTTCAGGGTTTGTTTCCCTGGTGCCTTCTTCAACCCTCATTCGACGTCTTCACGGATGCCTCGGCTCTGGGCTGGGATTTTGTGACCAGTGCTCACCAAGCTGGTCAGGATTGTTGGTCTTCTTTGTTGGGTTCACAGTACGATTTGGGAATTTGTGACCATGTGGCGTGCGCTGCAGTGTGGATCGAATTTCTCAGTGCCTTATGTGCGGCTCCGTTCCCCAATTCCGAGGTCCTTACGGTGCATGCTTTTTGACTTGAGTGGTCAAGGTGGGGGTTCCTGTACCTTTTCCCCTCCAGTACAACTGTTCTGGGTCCTGGCCAGGTTGGAATCCTCCAAGGGAAGGGTGGTCATTCTGGCTCCTGAGTGGCCGGCTCAGCCTTGGTTTTAGGTGCTGCTTGCTCGATGTACGAACCTGGGCATTTTTCTGCAGCTCTGCCTGCAACAGAAGTTCAGCCTAGTGTGTACTTTGCTGTTCCATGTCCTCTGCTCTTTGCATCTTGCATTTTTTATGCATATTTATCCCTATCTTTATGGTGAGCAGGTGTCATCTTTGATGGTGTCCCACTTTTGTTCCTCTTCTTGGTGGAAGTATGAGGTTTCGTGGTGCTCCTTTTGCCACTTCTTTTGCTACTGTCAACAGTTTCAGTGTGTGTGTTGCTCTTCATTCTTTCTTGGCTTTTTCTTGATTGGCATCTCATGCCATTTCATATTGTCACCTTGTATCGTGTGACACTGGCAGAGCTGCTGCATCTTGCATTCAAGTTTGATGCTGACTTGGCTTCGTTTCACAAGCTGTCTCACGCATTGTTCCACCACCAGCCTACTCATGCATTGCCTTGAGGCTGCTTGATCTCTGGACCTTGTTCTTGCATTTCTCTTTTCTTCTTGAATTACAATGTCCCCTTTGGTCCATGATTGTTTCCTTAAGTCTTTGTTTTTGGCTCCAGTGCTTCCAGTTGTCAATTTGGGGAGCTTCATGCTTTCTTTTGCAGGTAGGGCTTTTTGTTTTTATCAGCTGGTTCCTTTTCTGGCATTGAACTAATTGGTTGGCTTCCACAGGAGTCCTGTGGTCATTGATGCTTGGTTAGTGTGGCCGGGGGTGCGTCATGTACTGTGTTCCGTGATGGCTGTGTGCCGCTACCTTCATGCCATTGATTATACCTTGGTGGATGCCTTGTGAGTTGATCCTCTTATCTTGGCCACATGTACCAAAGCTCATTTTTATAAGATCACCCGCAGTGTTAAGTCTAGCCATCCTGTGGTCTTCACTTTTACCCATAATGTTAGGTAGTATGCCGCTCTGTCAGTGAGGTTTACAAACATGTCCTGGGCTGATATTCAGCCTGGTATCTTGTTTATGTTCCTTGGCCCCGGCACCCTTGTGTGATTTTGGATTGTGTCTCTTTGTCAAGTGTCTTCTCTTCGTCTTGAATCCTTCAGGGCTTTCTTTTCCATGGCGGGTTCCCGTATGTTTTCCTTCTCCATGGGTAGTTAGCTTCAGGGAGACACAAGGGCTCTCCTTCCTGAAAAACTGGGCTAAATATAATGAAACTGTATTGTATGGGTGAGCCCCAGTGGCTCCCTGATCCCCCCTTGCCTCCATTCCAGTTTGTTGGGGGTGTCTACATCTGTCCTAGAAATGAGGGTGGAGATACTGGATGATGGTAGACTACCTCCTCCCCTCTCCCCAAACGACTGGGTGAGGTGAGGCAAACGCGCTTGTGCTAGTTCTGAGAGAATTCAGTAATTTGTTTATATAATTGGAGGAGTTTGTTGGGGGGTTTTGAGGCTGTGGTCTCTATTGAAGCCAGCAGTGGTTTGTTTTGACTTGCTGACTTTCTGATTGCCTTTCCCAGTGGTGACGAAAATAAATGTCACCGCTTGCTGCGTCTCTGTGAGGAAGGGAAAGGGGGGAAGGGGTCCTCATGTTCTGGTACTGGTTCCCAGTAGACCTATAAAACTCCACAGTTGAGTTTAACCTAGTAGATGGTACCATATCAGTATATATAGTGGCTTCAGGGAGGCACTGGGGTTCACCCAGAAATTGGCTTTTTATTACATTCAATAAGATGCTAACTTGCCATTTGACTCTGGAGAGTCAAAGCATTTCAATTTACTTTCACATGACATTAGAAAATCCTGTATTTCTGGAATTTCTCCACAACAACATTTTTGGTATTTGTCCACAACAGCTGCCCCTTTGCTACATTGTTATATACCTGTACATAGAGTACACACTGTACTTGACATTATTATATAGAAACACTGTACATTATTATATATATTGTATATGCCGGAATATTTGAGACTCGTCTACCTTCATAAGGATACTGTACTGTTCTGTATATAGATTTTGTGGAAAACAAATATTTTTTTAGAGTATGTTTCATCATTTATTGAAAGTAATTTTCAAGTGGTTTTGTAGGGGTTAACAAGGTTTTGTGCATGTAAATACGATATATTCAGTTGGTGGTGGACCAAAAATATGCATCTTGTCAGCCTGAAAATACTGTACATGCACACTTTACGTTACTATATATATAAATGCTATATCTTTGCAATACATTATATATTACATACAATGCATTATATATACAGTATATTTAAGAGGCCTACATAAATATTGTAAAATAATGTATACTATATATACTGTATAATGTTATGTGCCTGGTTCCCAACATACTGTAGTGTATTTTATATTGTTATATGGGCATATAATTTACTTAAATTTTATGCAGTATGTTATAGATGCTATTCACAGAAACATAATGTTTTGTAAGAAAGTACAGTACAGTACAGTATTGTGTTGTGACTATTCTGTGGAACATTGTCCCATTTTAGCATTCAGAACTTTTGAAAATTATTTAAAATTCTAGGAAGGGGGAAATCATTGTTTTTTTCCTCAATTACTGTATTTATATCTTAACCTTATATTGGTTATGTATACAGTATTGACTAACCTTATATTGGTTATGTATACAGTATTGACTAACCTTATATTGGTTATGTATACAGTATTGACTAACCTTATATTGGTTATGTATACAGTATTGACTAACCTTATATTGGTTATGTATACAGTATTGACTAACCTTATATTGGTTATGTATACAGTATTGACTAACCTTATATTGGTTATGTATACAGTATTGACTAACAGCATGTTTGTCTGGATAAAGGTGTGTGGTTGGTTGGTGTATCAAAAGGCAGATAATAGTATTATGTCTTGTAAACATTTCTAGATCTTATATCTAATCATGTATTGCATCTTGAGAAATAAATTATCCTACTGTTTTTATTCTTTTTTATTTTTTGGACTGCCTTGGTATTTAGGTTTCTGTATAGAAGCCAATTATGTACATTTTTCTTTATTTTGCTATACATTGTATTTTGTGGACTATATATTTGGGCATTACAAATGCTGTATGTTCTTTATCATAGGACCATGACAGCTCATTTAAAATTGGGAAGTGTCAATTTGTTTAATACTGTATTTTTTAAAACATTGTGTCATTAGAGATAATGAAGATAATGAGCTTTATAAAAAATTAAATATTATAATCACTGTGCATTTCTTATTATTGTAATATGTTTACTCGAATTTCAAGTTTGATAAGGAATACAAACATTTACCACCTGACTTATTCATTTACATGTTTTTATGAGGGGAGCCCTGTCGGCTCCCTGAAGCTATCTTACTAATTAAGTGCCATACTAGGGAGTCATCATTTGTAGTTTTTTTGTTTTGTTTTTTCTACCAGGGACCACGAGCCAGAACCTGGCCCCCCACCCTCAAGGAGGCATAGGGAGTGATGGCCCATGAACACTTTACATTTAAAGTGTATCATCTTTGCCATCATCCAGGGAAGCACTCAGAAAGGTAGGCAAATTAAAACAGACTACTGCATGCTTAAGAAAAATGAGACCTCAAAATGTCCAAAGAACTTCCCCAACACTAAAACAACCAAAACATTGTCAAACCAGCCTTTCCCCCCACTAGTTAGCTCCACCTCCCCCCCCCTCATAGGGGGGAGCCTGCCCGGGTCAGCTGAGATGACGTTGGTCAGTTCTTGACTGATGTCTGTGCCTGGTGGTTATTCTGGCTTCAATCTCCCATTTCGAGTGGGGTTTTAGCCTTTTGTGCTGTTATTACAGGAGAGTGTGTGTAAGCCAGGAGTTTATTGTACTGGAGCTGCATGTGCTCAGGGTTATCTTCCCTCTGCACTCTGTAAGTACGTACTGTACTACTCTTGCACGTTCAGGAAACACTCCCGCCAGGGGGGGCTTCCTTGCTAGGGCTTTGTCTTGTCCTGGAATTGGGGGAGTTATTAGGCAGATGCAGCCTTCGAATTGATAACTATGGTGCTTCCAGCTCCCTGGTAACAGTCCCAATGTTTCCTTTCTCTGTTGGTAGTTAGCTTCAGTGAGCCGATGGGGCTCCCCTCGGAAAACAAGCATTTAATGTAATGAAATGCCAGTTTCTGGGTGAACCTCGGAGGCTCCCCAACACCCTCCCTCCTTAAGGTCGGCAACTTTTCATCATTTCAACACTGACCAGTGTCAGCCTGGCTGACCTGGGCCAATTTCTCCCCCCCCCCCCCCACCAAAGTGGGGCTAACTAGTGGGGGGGGGGGGGAGGCTGGTTTGACAAAGTTTTGGTTGTGTTATTGTTGGGAAGTTCTTTTGACATTTTGAGGGCTCTGGTCTCATTTTTCTCAACCATGCAGTAGTCTGTTTTGATTTGCCTACCTCTCTGAGTGCTTCCCTGGATGAAGACAAAAATGACACTTTAAATGTTAAGTGTTCATGGTCCATCGCTCTCTACTCCTCTCTGAGGGAGCCAGGTTCTGGCTAGTGGTTCTAGATAGGCAAAAATAACTCTGCAAATGATGACTTCCTAGTATGGCACGTAATTAGTATGATAGCTTCAGGGAGCCTCCGGAGCTCACCCAAAAACTAGCGTTTCATTATAATCAATGCTGGTTTTTTACACTTACTCAATTCTATTCAAGATCTGGTAGAACTTAAAACTTTTGCAACATTTTTCAAATGTTCTTTTATGTAAATAAAAACTATTATTATTATTATTATTATTTATTATTATTATTGAGAAAATTAGTAGGTGCCATGAGGACGACTCCAATTTGTACACTGGGTACTCCCAAACACATGCCTTAAACCATTGAACCACAACATGCTAAAAGTAATGCAACTTGGAATTCAACTGAATCCTCTAAGAGTCATGAGGCTTCTATTGAAAACAAGTTAGGGTTTCATGCTTTACCCACATACACTCTAGCTGTGGTATAGGAGTTCTATCCCAAATGCTTCTTTTTCAGATACACAAATTAATACATCACAATGTGATTTCTAAGACAATAAGTAGGAACATGATGATGATTTGAACCTGCACACTGGGTTCTCCCAAGCACACAACTTAAATCAATGAACCCTAGAGGATTCAGTTGAATCCTGGGTTGCATTACTTTAGCATATCTTTTGTTCAGTGGTTTTAGGTGAGTACTTTGGAGTATCCAGTGTGCAGGTTCGAGAACTCACGATTTCTACTGATTTTCACTTTGATACTTCATGTTAATGTGATTTCTGTGTGCATTATTATTATAATTATTATTTACTATTATTATTAAGTAATGGTAATGTCTTCATAGACATCATAATAAAGGATAAAAACCCACAATTATATATTTTTGTATCTTATGTAAAAATTTACAACAAAAATGTAAGAACCCCAATGTTATGTACTCTCACAAACCTAATGTACCTTCTTGTATGTAAATAAATAAAATATCTCGACGATTATTACAGCTACTACCCAGGATTCAGTCTTCTTATCCTTTTTGATCTCCTGACCATGTCATCTCTATTTCGAACTGTCATGTGCCTGCGAGGATGTCTTCTATGGAATTATGGTTAGTTATCCTTTGTCATCCTGATATTCTGAGAACTGGAGTTGTTTATTAATAAAGATTTCCGTCTTGATGCTGTCCTTCGTAATGCCCTCCAAACCCAAAGAAGCGTGGCTATTGAGAATACATTACTTACATTCATCCATTTATTCAGATCTAGTTCTAAGTTTTAATTCACTTAGACTAAGTTGTCTTTTAAGACTATCCTTGGAAGTAACGCTTCTGTTACCAGCGAAAGTATTTGAAGTATTAATTGGAACCCCTTCTACTATCCTAGTTCTAATAATAATATTTTTATAGATTATTTCACACGTCTTAAAATCAATATTCTGATCCTTTTCCCAACTATTGTATGGTTTGCAACGACACTATTACTAGTGATGATTCTACGTGCTTTTTTGTGTTCTTCAATTCTGATATAAAGTTTTCACCCTATTATTCCCCACATAGACTCATTTCAATATCTACAAGTAATATATAAATACCTCCCGGATTTCTATCCACTACTCTTCTTACAAACCTTTTCCCTAATTATATTGTGGTAATTGAATTTTTGTTTTCAAGTATCTATTACATTCTGGGTCAGTTTATTTAATAGAGGTTTATATGGTAATTTCAAAACTTTTTTTTTATCAGGATTCCATAGGTGTCTTTAAGTTTCAGTGTAAAGGATGTCTAGCTCTGCCATGTGCTTTTTCAACTGATGCCTTTAGCATATAGCATAGCTAAAAAGCATCCTTTACATTAAAACTGAAAGACATGGAATCATGATAAGAAAATAGTTTTGAAATTACCATATAAACCTTTATTGAATAAACTTACCCAGAATGTAATTGATGGATTTTGTGGTACAGTACTGTATCAAAGGATTTTTGGCAATCCAGAAATATGCAATCCACCCAGACTTCTGTCTTATCTTATTTTCCTTGTACTCGCCATCTTTGCTTGCAGGGTTGAGCGTCATCTCTTTGGCCCCGCCTCTCAATTAAGTGACTCAACTGTGAGTGTAACTGGCAAAGTTGGGAACAACAATTGGTAATCGTGAATCGTCATATTAATGGTTTGGTGTTAGGGGGTAATTAAAGCCTATCAACCGGGAAAGGGTTAGTTATATGAGGCCTCGATAATAGCCTAATTACTGACCAACCTGCAAGCATTGAACTTAGTCCTGGACATAATCCAGGACTAAATTAGTTAAACGCTTAAATGTACATACACCGAGAAACAGCTAGGGTACCTCTTCGGTGCGTATATCGCTTTAGCCTGAGTAATGTTGGTGTTAAAAATATAACCTGTGTGTGTGTGTAGTTGTGTACGGCATTTGAGTTCACGCGGACACTAATTGGCAACTATTTGAAATTATATTTGTGTACGCTTTATTATTTTCGTACATTCTTATCTTCACCAATTAAAATATTAACGTCACCTGTTTGTTTTACATTACTACGTTTGCGCCATTGAACTTTGTGTTCATGGACGCGATCAAAATTCATCACTCTGGCTCGAAAAATAAATGTACTATGAGAAATGAGTATTTGGGACCCTGAGGAGCAGGAAGGTCAGACGGTAAAGGCCGCCGCCAGCTCCCGCAGTTGGCAAGCTACAGTGGTGGGAGATGGTGCTGCGGGCGGTGAGCACCGGGCTACACAGGCTGTCTGCCACACCTAAATACCTCCCTTCACTCAAGTCATGCACGAGGTAAATACATCCAGTACTGTTCTCTATAAACTAAAAGATTAACAGCCTCAACAACGTGTTAGCTACACACACACATGGATGACTTTTTAACACACGTCTGAAAATACAGGAAGGTATAAGGTAATTATCAGAAGAAAACATTAAGCAATTACGACTCTATAGCACTTGGGGTGTAAGGATTTAGGATATGACTAAGGAAAGGAATGGTGACCAACCACTTGGACGGTCGGGGATTGAACGCCGACCTGCATGAAGCGAGACCGTCCAGTCCAAGTGGGCTTATTGTCTACATTTTAACATAAATGTAACATGGATTTAAATTTATAATTTGTTAGATTTCTTGAACATTCTTATTTATGTTAGCTACTCTTTTTTTTTTTTTAGTATTAAGTGTTAACTCCTCTACCCCTTTTAAGTAATTTGAATGTATAAAAGATATTGTTTTGCCCGAATGAATTGCGTAGCAATGGCTTCATTTGTATGGGGTAACCCCTGTCCCTACTATGGGGGCCATAGTAGGGACATTATTCATGTTCTTTGTAGACACATATTTATGAATAGAAATTATTATTATTATTATTATGAACGTACGCGTCTAGGTAACAGTGCAGTTGCTGTGTACCAATGTTCGTTGACGCGATACCTGGTAAAACATTATGAGCACCACCCACCCCTGTCAACGAGCATGGGCGCCATCCGCCCCTGCCAACTACAGCCAAACCCTCGCCTGGCCACAACACTGGAGTGCTGCTGTTGTTGTTTTAGATTCAGCTACTCAGAGCATAAGTTCCAAGTAGCACGGGCTATGGTGAGCCCGTAGTGGACTTACCTGGCACAGGAGCGGGGCAAGTAGCACGGGCTATGGTTAGCCTCGTGCTACTGGAGTGCGTATGTATATATTTATATACGCGTTTGTGTTGCTCACGTGGCCCCCCCACAGTGAGGTGATTCGATGAAATATCTATGCCCAAGCTTACCACCAAGTGTTGTCGGGTCGTTGGGGATATAGCCTTGGCTACCAATGACTTCTGTACAGTTATGGTGGTAGAGTGGTTAAGGAACCACATACGCCATAGTGCATAGTGCTCCTGGCTGTTTGGGTTTGAATCCTTCTAGGGTGTGGAGTTTTCATTTGCATATATATATATATATATATATATATATATATATATATATATATATATATATATATTCAATATTTCTTACGTTTTTCTTCACTGTCGGGGGTAATTGAAAAATTAACTCTCCAAAGTTCATTTTCTCATTTTTTATTTATGGTCTGATGCCTAAAAGCGTTTTGCAAGGACTTCTCGCCTTTTCAAAGACGGGTTTACACATCATTTCATGCTTATATTCGTTTTGGGTGAGGTGATATGACACAAATGTTTTTGGGTGAGGTGATAAAAGCCAGAACACGAATCAATGGGTATATATTGCATATAAGAACATAAGAATCAAAGTAATTACAGAAGGCCTATTGGCCCACATTTTCTCTTGCTGCTTCTATGTTGGTTCGGGGTCTTGAAGTGGGTAGAATATAGTTGTGTGTGTTAATTGGCTGTTGATTACTGGTGTTGACTTTGTGATGTGTAGGCCCTCGCTGATGTCGAATCTCCTGCTATCAGCGAGTAGACATCTGCTCACTATCAGCGAGCAGATGGTGCGAGACCCTCACACTCACGCCACATAGTATACACTTCGTTTCATTATCATTAACAACTATTCTATATTCCCAGTAATATTTGTACCCTAGCCTGAGCCGCATGTGTACAGTCACTCCAAGCATTTCTCCTTTTACCATAAGTGAAATGGGTGTTTTGACTCTCATACATGTAGTGTTGCATGGCTTGACTTCCCTCATACATTATACCTCTCCTCGCCACTTCTGTTTGTGACTGAATATTTCTTAGTTTGCTTTATATTTGTCTCATGCTCATTTAATGTTTTAACAATATGTTGCTGGCATAAAAGGAACTGCCATATTAATACCAGTATCAGTCGTCATTTCACGACCAAAGATCACATTCATTCCAAAAATCTACCACTTACAGACCATTCATATCCGTGCCACCTCTTGAATGGCCTAATCTTCACCAATCAATCCAATACCAGTAAGTGTACATGTCGGGGGTGGACACATGGCATCGTTGCCATCACCCCGAGAGTTTTCTGAAGGTGTAGTCACTGTGGCAACTGCTATTTTAATGTTGAGTGAAGAGGAACCGTTCCAGCTCCTTGATTTTCGGCCTCACGTGAACACCGGAGATACAACTTCATCGTATCCTGGATTTTTCAAAGATCCATTTTAAAAACTAAATGCAACAATTTGTTTCGTGACATCCTGAACACCCGTACATTTATGGAAGGGAAGAGGAAGTCGCCTGGTTGACGGGAGTCGACCATGGTAGCATAGAGTATCTCATCAGCTGAGTTAAGACAATGATATGAATACTTGGGCGTCTGTAGAGGCCAGATAAGAGCAAACTAAGTCGAGTACTTGTGAGATAATCATCATCTCTATCACAGTGCTTCAGATGAGATGTCTTAATTACCGATAAAGCTTTAGCGTTTCATTTGATGCAGCTAGGTTTGCTTGGTATTTATTAAGTTTGAGTAATTAGTCGGCTAACATTACTATCATTTAATCACATTTAAAGCACAATTAGTTCAAGAATTGAATCACAACAGTCTAACCTGAGCAATTTACATCTGTGATGAGCCAGATACATATAGATTGATTCACTAATCATGTCCTCCACACCCAATCAATGGGCACCAGCTATGGAAAATTTAGTCATGTACATATACCTCCTACTGAACAGTAACCAAACTTACAATATTTGGCTAAGATTTCTGGTAGTACCTCATTTTAATTGAAATAGTTTCATATTTCTTGAATATTTGAAATAGAATGATCTAAATTGTGATTTTTTTTTTCAAATACAATTACAGTGATGTAAGGTATGTGAATAATTCTGCTGACAGTTTACATTTGGTGAGGTCTACTTCAGCAGGTGGTGCAGACTCCCAGAGGTACGTGTAGCCGAGCCCAAGCCTAGCAGTGGTAACATTGTAGGAGCCTGCTGACCTTGTTGCATGACCAATATATCGTTGTGTGGGTCTTTCTGCTTCGTAGTATGATAGACGGGAAAACCAGTGTCATTTTCACCATGTCTCAGGTCTTCTAAATGTTGCTGGAGTTCTTGGTATATTGCTGCCATCAGGCTGCTCAAAGTCCGTCCTAGATGGTTATTAACGCAAGATTATTTTGTTATTTAGACAGAAAAGCAGTGGTGGAGGCCTGAGGTTGAGCTACGTGTCACACCCAGGACAATGGCCACTGATGGCCATGTCGGTGGGCCAGCTGGTGGAGCGCGCCCACGACCAGTTCGGTGACCGGGAAGCCGTTGTGTCCATTCACCAAAATAAGAGGAGGACATTTTCACAAATTAAACAAGAGGTGATTTGTTTCGTGTTTGTGTTAAAAACATTAATATGTGCTTATACACTTTGATTTGTTGCAGAAGCCATGGATAAGCGAAGACGAAAAAACGACTTCATTATAAGAAACCTTGCAAAAGAAGAAGACAAGAACGATCAGCAAATAGAGAAACAGATCCTCTTCCTTGCCTATCAAAGTATTTCCTGTGTAGGGAGTAAGCCTTAAAGAAATCTGGTAATAACCATTGCAAATTTTGAACACAGGAGGAGGATACTCACTCATGCACACAAACTAAAAGACCTTAAAGAGTATAACTAAATTTGTATTCCTCAGACCTCACAGTATAACAGCAAAACTAACGAGAGTACTAAGAGGCAAACTAAAGGAGTTAAGAAACACAGACCGATAAAGGGGTAATCATGATAGTAAATGGAGATGATGTCCTCATTCAACCCAACCAGGCAAATCTAACCCTATATATCTCGGACGACAAGCAGGCACAAAACAGGGACACACACCCTCATAAATACTGTCCAAGCAGTATCCTCCCCGTGATAGTAGCCTGACGATTTAAATGCGACCTCAGCACACTATATGTTCACTAAAAAAAAAAAAAGTGTCACTTGCGGGCTATTCATGCCCGAGCCACCTCTTGGGTGGCATAATCTTCATCAACCAGGCACAAAACCAGAGTGACAATGTACAGAGTGCAAGAACAATCTCTGCCCGCAGGAACGTCAGATGATACTGCTTGAACACAAATGCCAGAAGCCTAGTAAACAAATTTGACGCATTGTATTCGCTGAGGCCAAGAATCGCGATATCATTGTCATCAGTGAAATATGGGGAGGAGAGGACATAACAGAAGGGGAATTCCATCTCCCAGGATACCATCCACCATTCAGAAAGGACAGATAGTATACTCAAAGGATTGTATGCTATATGGTTGGCTGGCTGTATACTATATGGCTGACTGGCTATATACTATACGGCTGGCAGGCTGTATACTATACGGCTGGCTGGCTGTATAATAAAGCCGCTGTTCATCAAAGGGAACACTTTGTAACATTTAATAATGTTTCATTGTGGAATTGACGGCCATTTACTGAAACAAAATCAGAAGAAAAAATCGATACTTGTTAGTAAATTCAAGAAATGTCAATCAACATCTGTTTCTCCTCCACCTCGAACCTTTGATGCACTTTGGTGTTTTAGAAGCTGGCGTGGCGGTACATGCCTTGAGGGTGTCTTCATGTGGTTCTCAGGATCAATGTCCATGCGGCCCAGTCTCTGACGAGGCCTATAGATTAGATGAAATTATTGAATTTTAATGTATGTAATAAAATAAATCGCATGTGCAGCGAAGAACTTTGCAACGTTTTAATTTTAATTTAATTGTTAATGTTTTTTAACTGTTGTCCCCGGTTAATTTCAAATGCAGGGCATTTTTTTCTTTTACCTGATGTCTCTGTTCACCAGCCCGTTCTCACGATTTGCCACACTGTACAAAATGTAATAGTTTCGCCTAGCCAGAAACTTGCGCACCCAAGCAACTCACCTAAGCTATCTAGTCTGAACACGCCATTATTATGGTGCTATTATTTGCTTAAAATACAATGCATTCTTAATGGATTAGTAAATTCCGTTACATTGCGACGTACTAGTTGAGAGAACGGTAAACTAACAGTAAATAGGTACCCGGGAGTAGAGTTGTTGTGGCTAGCCTCTGGGGAAGGCCAGACGTTGACCTTGGTACAGTCTCCGTCCCACAACAACGGGGAACCATATAAACAAAGGCCTTGAGTATAGAAAACGGATAAAGCCACGGCTTATTTAAACCGAAGACCTGGGGCCAGATTCACGAAGCAGTTACACAAGTACTTACGAACGTGTACATCCTTCCTCAATCTTTTATGATTTTGCTTACATTTATTAAACAGTTTACAAGCATGAAAACTTGCCAATCATCTCTTCTTATTGTTATAAACAGCCTCCTGTTGCTGTGGAGCTCATTAACTGTTTAATAATTGTAAACAAAGCCGCCAAAGATGGAGAAAAGCTGTTCAGGTTCGTAAGTGTTTGCGTAATTTCTTCGTGAATCTAGCCCCTGCTTATTTATTTGCGCTGCTAACTAGCATATAAAAATTTCCTTTCAGATGGAGCGGCTAGCAGCTGGTCTACTAGCCGTGGGTCTTGATCGTGGGGACCGTGTGGGTATCTGGGCACCCAACACATACGAGTGGTACCTGACACAGATGGCTGCTGCCTCGGCTGGTCTGGTGCTGGTGAGTCCTTCCCTGTACCCTACAGTGTCATCACTCTGCTTCACTCCCCCCTCTAGTTTCTCATCTTTCACAGTCCTCTCTTAATTTACTTATCTTTCTCAATTTTCTTGTTTTTATCAGCTTCCTTTTTTCCGTTTTCCCAATTTTCTCAGTGTAATACGTGCCTTATTTCGTATATTTATGCATTTATATTTTGGCTTTAAATTCATACTAATCATGACCCCTCCAGATCCCTTTCGCAATCAGACTTCGTGATCTCGACCCCATCCAGCTGATATCCTGTAACTCTTTCATCATTACACAGCCTCATAACCTTACATTTGTCAGAATTAAACGGCATCTGCCAGTCTGTTGACTATTTCAAAACTATCTAGATAGTTTTGAAGTGATTTTGAATTTTCCGAGTTTATCTTCCGCTCAATTTTCGTATCGTCGGCAAATTTACAGATATTCCTGCTCAATCCTGAATATAAATCATTTATATATAGTATTATAAACAACAAAGGTACCAGAACAGAGCCTTGAGGCACTCCACTTACAACAGTTTCCCATTCTGACTTAACTCCATTTATACTAACTCTATGTTTCCTTTGGTATAACCATGCTCTAATCCAACTTAATATATCACCCCCAATACCGTGAGCCTCTATCTTTTTTATCAATCTTTTATGTGGTACTGTATCAAAAGCTTTGCAAAAGTGAAGGTACACAACGTCACAAACCTTTCTACTGTCAAGTGCCTCAATTATGGTGGAGCAGAATGAAAGCAAATTTGTCAAACATGAGTGGCTCTTAGTACCATATTTTGAATCGTTAGTGTTCAAGATGTAGACCAATGACTTTTGCAATTATCGATTCAAGCCATTTTCCCACAATAGACGTTAAGGTAATTGGCCGAAAGTTCGACGCAAGTGATCTATCTTCTTTCTTGGAAATTTGTACCACATTAGCAACCCTCCACGAATCGGGCTCTCTGCCTGACTTTCTTTGATATAACTTAAAAAAAAATAGGATTTGTCTCTGCTTGCCCTGGAATAAGAACTTTATAATCAAATTTGTTGTTTGACAGAAGCATCTTTCTTGGATTCTCGTATGAAATATTAGTTATTAATCACTGGATATATGATGTGTATCCCTAGGTTAATATCAACCCAGCCTACCGCCCTAATGAGCTGGAGTATTGCCTCAACAAGGTTTCTGTCAAGGCCATTATCTGTGCAGATAAATTCAAAACATCAGAGTAAGTTTACAATTGAGATAATCTTTAGAGTATTTTCTTTACTGAAATATTTGTATTTGATGGATATCGTACTGTTACTGGATAACTAGTTCTCTCCACAGTTATTGTAAGATACTGTGTGATCTTACCTAGTTATCCTCCTCTTTACACAGTTATTATAAGATGCTGTGTGATCTTGCTCCAGAGTTACCAACTTCCGCCAAAGACGACCTCAAAATATCCAGACTGCCTTTCTTGAAGAAAGTGATCATCTGCTCCGAGAGAGACTTCAGGTAAGACAGTATTCCCCCTAAGTTCTGTTAGCACTAAGTCTTATCAGACTGTTTATGTTGACATCTGATATTTTTGTGAGACCAGTGATGGAGTTCTTTAAGGTATCAATCACCAGCGAGGATAACATTCCTCATAACATCTCTGCAAGAGACATTGTAGCCAGACAGTATACAGAGATTGTGGATCGCAGAGTCGGAAAGTAATCTGAATTATAGTTACATATCTTTTTACCCAGCGGAACCTACAAGTTTGGAGATGTACTGGAGGCTGGTGACAGTTCACACTTGAAGACTCTCCACAACATATCTTCCAAGATCAAGGTCGACGACCCGTTCAACATTCAGTTCACTTCGGTGGGTATTTTTTATATTTCTGCGGATTGGAAGAAAACGCTCACAGAGTGGGACTTAATTTATTTTTATAATAATAAATAATAATTAATTATTTATTGAATACAAATAATTAATTAATAATCATAAGTGATCAAGTAATTGATAATCCTTAAATGAAGAAGCATACTAGCTCATTATAACAAATAAATAGATAATTAAAGGGGATAATTAATTATGGTGACTAATAATGATTAGTGAATAACCATAAATTATTATACTGAAAATATATTACAATCACATATGAATGAATAGGACTGTCAATCGACTTTAATGATTCATTGTCTAAATTTCTTACATGAAAGATTACGTGTAATATATATAATATATATATATATATATATATATACACACTGTCCATGCTATTGGTCCACTAGTACTAATAATAAGTTTTTTGTCTTTATTTCACCAATTTGAAACACGATTGGTAACGAGTATAAAGTTCCCGTTTCTGACGCTAGAGGGCCAGGCTCAGACCGTCCAGTGTTAGGACCGGTCACCATGCATGGTCGAGAGCGTGCGTCCTCATATGTTTATTGTTGTTGTGGCCAAGCAACCCAGGCTCTGGGTGTGTGTTCCCTCTACACGCTGGCCTGATCACACCACACTGGATAAAGGCGTATCTGAAGGACAGACAGCAAAGAGTCACTGGTCAGAGAGGAGGTTTCAAGTTGGAGGACTGTAACAAGTGGGGTCCCACAAGACTGTCCTGGGACTGCTGCGGTTCCTAATTTATGCTAACGACCTACTCCAAGGGAGTGAGCTTGAACATAAGAACATCAAAATCAAGGAAACTGCATAAGGCCTTTTGACCCGTATGTGGCAACTCCTATTTATATCCACCCAGACTCATTCATATATATGTCTGACCTACGTTTGAAACAATCAAGGAACCCTACAATTATTAAGAACATAATAGTTTGGGCGGTCAATGTTTTGTAGATATCAGTGTGGTTAAGGTGAGTGACTGGAAGTCCCTTAATCGCGGGTTAGTTACCTCAAAGCTCCAGTTGATTTTCCCAATCCTTAACTGTTCATCCCCTTTTACCCATAGAGCAACCACGGGGACCTGGTTCTTAATCGACCGGCGGGTCGTGTTCCAGGAAGAACTATATAGGGTAAGGCTTACCACGAGCCATGGAAAGGGGAGGTCTCGGCCTGCTAACACAAGTCTGAAGTTTTCTGCTTCAGTAGTCACCAGTGTGTTGGTTTGTGAAGAACACATCAACATCACACTGGCATGATATATCAGTGAGAAAATCATTTGGGGTAATGAGGTAACTTGAACCACCGTTCTGGCGATTCCCAGACACCTGCCTTAACCCACTCGGCCACGATTGGTGGGTTGTCAGGTGTCTGGGAACCACCAGAACGATGGTTCAAATCGCCTCTATCATTACCCCAAATGATTATCTCATTATGAAGAGCATTGTTCCCCTGATAATAGAAGGAGCAGTGTTACCATGATAATAAAAGAAGTATTCTTACCCTGATAATAGGAGCATTGTTCCCTTGATAATAGGATGAGGAGGATATGTGGGGGTCGGCTCACGTTTGAGAAAGCTGTCACAGAATATCCTGTTATTGTTAAGAAGTCACAGTAGTCGTCCTGTGGAGGAGAAGAGTGTTTAGGCTGAATATAAAGGGCACTCAATATAGACAACAAACATAATTTTGTGATGGAAACATGTGTTTACTGAACCAGTGTTAGCTTAAGCTGCTGCTGTTGTTTTTGTTTCAGGGGACGACGGGGCTGCCCAAGGCCGCCATCCTCACTCACCACATGGTCGTCAACAACGCATTTTCAATTGGCAAACGCTCAGAATATGACAAGATGGTAAGTGTTTTTCTTGCAACTTTTCTCTGTTTTAAAAGGAACATTTTTTTGTTAATACTTTTCTTCGACTGATATTGCCATCACATGTTAAATTATACTCGTCTTCAGTATCTAGACTTTGCATACCTCAAACACAACTCATATTTTGTGCCAACATTTATATATATATATATATATATATATATATATATATATATATATATATATATATATATATATATATATATATATATATATATATATGTATATAACTTACGCATCTCCGAAGTCAACACCAGCAATCAACAGTCAATTAATGCACAACTATATTCTACCCACCTCAAGACTCCGCTCCAATATAGAAGCATCAAGAAATATGGACCAATAGGCTTTCTACAATCACTTCTATTCAATACCCATTGTTTCGTGTTCTGTCTTGTGTTGATGAAATTAATACCCTATTAATGCCACCTCACCTCATCCACCTCTCTCTCTCTCTCTCTCTCTCTCTCTCTCTCTCTCTCTCTCTCTCTCTCTCTCTCTCTCTCTCTCTCTCTCTCTCTCTCTCTCTCTCTCTCTCTCTCTCTCTATATATATATATATATATATATATATATATATGTCGTACCTAGTAGCCAGAACTCACTTCTCAGCCTACTATGCAAGACCCGATTTGCCTAATAAGCCAAGTTTTCATGAATTAATGTTTTTTTGTCTACCTAACCTACCTAACCTAACCTAGCTTTTTTTGGCTACCTAACCTAACCTTACCTATATATATAGGTTAGGTTAGGTTAGGTTAGGTAGGGTTGGTTAGGTTCGGTCATATATCTACGTTAATTTTAACTCCAATAAAAAAAATTGACCTCATACATAGTGAAAAGGGTAGCTTTATCATTTCATAAGAAAAAAATTATAGTAAATATATTAATTCAGGAAAACTTGGCTTATTAGGCAAATCGGGCCTTGAATAGTAGGCTGAGAAGTGAGTTCTGGCTACTAGGTACGACATATATATATATATATATATATATATATATATATATATATATATATATATATATATATATATATATATATATATATATATATTATTTTTATAGGAATTTTTTCAAGTACTTTCGTACTATATATATATAAATAGAATCGAGGTGCCCTTCTCCCCCTCCTCCAGGTGTAAGGCACAAATGGATGTTAACAGGATCCTTGCCGGCCACTCGAATAATCCTGAAACCACTTGGGATGTATTATAGAATACACGACACTCTTAGTATTGACACACCTCACTGAGGGACTGACGGGGAAGGAGTACTGGATAATTAAGGGTACTAGGTCACTTGGGGACAAAGGGGACGGTAAGCCCAATATCACTAAGACAGGAACCATTAGTACATACAGGAAAGACACTTGAAAATATTACTTTAACACATAAACAGACACTTCCTATGTTCCCCTAACAGAGACAAAGATAAATGAATGGTAAGGTGCTTAGTACAAGAGAGCCGTACTTAATACCGGATGTTCACACGTGACCTTGGGCCAGATTCACGAAAGAACTTACGCAAGTACTTACGAACGTGTACATCTTTCCTCAATCTTTGACGGCTTTGGTTACATTTATTAAACAGTTTACAAGCATGAAAACTTCCCATTCAACTGTTTTTATTGTTATAAACAGCTTTCTAGTGCTTCGGAGCTCATTAGCTGTTTAATAATTGTAAACAAAGCCGCCAAAGATTGAGAAAAGATGTACAGGTTCGTAAGTGCTTGCGTAAGTTCTTTCGTGAATCTGGCCCCTTGAGACGAGGTTCTTCCCTGCAGACCCCAAACACACTCCCATCTTACACCACTTCTCCAACTCTTCTGTCCCTGACTCGATCTCCTGCTCCCCATCTGAACGTGAGGTCTGCGGCTGGCATTTGATTTCGAAGGGTTAATCCCTGTGGATTAGCATGGCAGCATCGTATCTGACGTCACCGTTGACCCGTCCCATGGTTAGCTTCTTCAGGGGTGTGACTTTCCCATTGTCTTGTGCCGACTGTGTGGCACTGCGCCCCTGTGGCTGTTATGCTGTTCCTTTTGTCCTACTATGTACTGCTCTCTTGTTACAATATATTGATATAGAATAACATGAACTCTTACAGCGTCCCTCTTAGTCACATTTCTAAGTTAATACGTAATATTGCTAAGTATACCTAAAATTTAATAATTATCTTTGGGGTAGCTTAAAAAGGGCCGTGATTATTCACTAATAAAGACATTTGGTTATTGTGGCCAGATATTGATAGATGTGCAGGCGATGAGTCACAATAACGTGGCTAAAATATGTTGACCAGACCACACACACTAGAAGGTAAAGGGACGACGACGTTTTAGTCCGTCCTGGACCATTCTCAAGTCGATTGTGTGAGGGCTTGTCTTCTGGTTGATGTGAACAACATGATGTTGGTGTGTTGCAGGCCCACCGCGTATGTGTACCTGTGCCACTGTACCACTGCTTCGGCTGTGTGGCCGGTACACTGGGGGGGCTCCATTTCGGCGCCACCTGCGTCATGCCCAGTGAAGGCTTTGACCCCGAGGCTTGTATTCAGACCATTCAGGATGAGAGGTTAGTTTACCCTACAAGTTCATGTGCAGTTTTTTTGTATTTCTTAGTAGTATTTAATCTTAGTTTATGCATTTAGTTATATATTTTCTGATCCGATTAAAAAAATTTATTTGATTGTACTTATAATGAATAATAATAATTTATGAATAATACTTTATTCATAAAAATATACATACAAAGAACAAATATACATGCAAGGTATACACGAAGGGACAGTGTCAAGACCACTACTTCGCAGTGTTTCTGGCAAAACTTAGAATAATTCACATCAAAATTATTCATAGGTATAATATGGTAAATAATTCATACTAAATGAGAAGTCAGCTAACGAGGACAGGGCATACGCTGCGACATTATAGTCTGTAATTTCTGCAAAAGTACCAATGTATTATTTAACATATTAACACCAAGGATATACAAAGGTGCATTTTAGTAAAGCCGCCACAACGCTACGCGTTTCGGACATAACATAGAATAAATGCTTCATTCACTGGACATTCAGATATTTATTAACTCCATTTAAGAATTTTTACCTGTTCTTTGTACATTTTCTTTGTCTTTACCTTGCCTTCAAAACTGGTTCTCATCTTCTTCAATCCTTCCTTCTTCGTAAGCCTGTTCTTGAATCTCATCCCTTAGATTTCCGCACTCATCTCTGCCTTCCCTATAACGATCTCTTCTCTCTCTGAACTTCAAATTAAAAAAATCTGAATCTGAAAAAAAACTTCAGTCTGCCCTGGCCCTCTGCAGTTCTACGGCAGCGGGCTCGGATGACATTCATTATGAGATGCTTCGCCATCTCCCTCCTTGCACGTCTCGGTATCTACCGAGTCTGTATAACTAGGTCTGGGAGTCGTCGTCAGCCCCTGAGGACTGGCTGGATGCCGTTGTACTCCCTGTTCAGAAAACGGGGTCTCTCAGGACATCCCCTCAGAACGTCTGCCCTATTGCCCTCACGAGTTGTGTCTGCAAACTCTTTGAACGTATGGTTAATGTTTGTCTGATGTGGTTCTTGGAACATCATCACCACCTGTCTCCTTCTCAATTTGTTTTTTCAAGTGCCGCAGCACTACTGATGTCCTGGTGAACTTGGAGATCTATATTCGTGCTGCTTTTGCTGCAAAGACCTCCGTTGTTGCTGTCCTTTTTGACCTGGAAAAGGCTTACGACACCACCTGGCGATACCATATTCTGTCCCAACTTCGTTCTTTTGGCCTTCGTGGTAATCTCCCTCTCTTCCTCCAAAGTCCTTTAATCCAGTCCATCCAGTGGTCGTCGAGATTCAACATTGGCTGTTTCTTATCTCCAGTAGATTTAAAACAGTTGAGTTTTGCTGGGTTCCCAGCCATATTGGTGTCTCTTTAAATGAGCGTGCCGACGCTGCAGCTAAGGAAGCTGTCCACACTTGTCCCATCTCCCATAAAAGTATTCCTTATTCCGACTTTTACGCAGTTATTCATTCCTTCATCCTTGCCCGTTGGCAGGGGTTGTTGGTCTTCTGTTACTGGTAACAAACTGCATACTATTAAGAGTAGTGTGTCCCTGTGGCCTTCCTCCTTCCACAGTAACCGGCAGTGTGAAACGGCTCCTTCAAGGTTGCGTAATGGCCATTCGCGCTTAACTCATGGACACTTAATGGAGCACCATCCTGCTCCTTATTGTTCTAACTGCATTGTCCCTCTTACAGTTGTGCATATCCTTGTTGAATGTCCTGACTTCCAGGACGAGCGTGTGTCTTGCTTTCCGACCGTCCCCCGTGGTCACTTGTCCCTCGATAGAATTCTTGGTGAATCGGATACTTTTGATATCGTTCGCCTTATGCACTTCTGTTCTCATATTGGAATCCTCGGTAATATTTAGCGCCCTCTGATTATTCTGCACATTTGATAGTGCTACATAGCCTTCCCAGCTTGGTGCCTTCTTTGATAATTACTTACTTTGCCTTCAAAATATACCAGTAAATATGTGTAGTCGGCAGCTGGTTAAATTTATGTAATGTTGATCATGCATTATATGTTCTGTACATATAATAGGAAGGTAAGAAGGTACCTTCAGTAGGGAACATCCAGTGTATAGGTTCGAGTCCTCATCAAGGCCTTTGTAAATTTGTTCAATGATAATAATAATATTAATAATAAATAATAATATATATATATATATATGGGTAACCCCAGTTATTCGTGGGACAATGCTTTTTGTTGACATTATCATGTTTCAATTGAAAATCAACTTTGACCAAGGTTAAGACGCATATTGTGTGTTGACAGGATCACGTCTTGCTATGGCACCCCGACCATGTTCGTTGACATCCTCAACGCTCAACACAAGAAGCCCCGAGACGTAAGCTCCTTATCGACAGGAGTAATGGCAGGAGCGCCGTGTCCTCAGGAACTGGTGACGGCTCTCATGAATGATCTCAATATGAAGGACTTTTTGGTAATAACTTTATGTGAATCACTTTTAGTTTCTTTTAGGATTATGCTATAGGACGAGATATTTGCCTTGGAGTGTAGTAGCTGTGGTAGCCAGAATGTTAGACATTAAGAATTAGCTAATGGAATAATGCACAGAAACATTTAGCAAATGAGGACTGGAAGAATAGGAGTGAGAAGGTATGGGCGTGTACGGCAGGCAGATGTGTTGTGAGGTTAAGGCAGATGGACCAGTATGGTGCCTTTAATGCAGTAGTGGGGCCATAAAGTGAAGATGTGGCGAGTGCAAGAAGTGCCAAGATGACACTCCCTGGGAGAGCAGCCGAAGTCACAGGCTGGATGCCCACTACACACACACACACACACACACACACACACACACACACACACACACACACACACACACACACACACACACACACACACACACATACATACGTATGTTTGAGGCTTATCTGAGAAGACGCCCAGGGCAGTGAATGGAATCAGTTCATGGAATGTGAATAGAATGGACTCGCCAGTTCATGATGCACGCCTACACAGGCTTGCGGTGTAGGGTAAAGTCACTCAGCTTCCAACTATAGCCTTATAGTGACCTGCTACTGGTCATTATGGCTATAGTGATGATTGGTGTGAAGCAGTGAGGTCCACGCAAATTCATCATGTAGCTTAAGGGACTAACTAGATGAGTGTTGTAGTGAAGGCTCTGTGTGAGGGCTCTTACACTGAAGTGACCAAGACGGTCAGGGAATGCCTGATTGAGTCACCTTGCACAAAACACAGGGGAATAAAAAAGGATCTTCCCTATGCAAGCTATATGTTCCTCATTAAAAATGATTTTCAGGTACCTCTTAGGTAATATTTATGCAAGGTAACAATAACGCGGTAAAATTGGCCAGGCAAGTATTACATTTGTTGGTGTTGGTGGACAGGTGATGTACGGCATGACGGAAACCAGCCCCGTCACCTTCCAGTGCTACCCGTCAGACCCGCCGGAGTTGAGGTCCTCTACGATTGGTTACCCCACGGACCACATCGAGGTAGGCAGCTCTCTCAACCTAACTCACTGTATCACTTCATTATTGCTGAGCAGTAATCACTTTTAACACTAAACATATTGAATAAGTCTAATGGTATAACCCTTGACCCACTTCTTACAAGATGTGTAATTTACCTGAGGGGCCACTAACACTCGTGGCCTCGACGAGGACAGGAAGCAAGCGGCTTGTCGAAGGTCTCTCCATTTGCCTTGTAAATATGACACGTGCAGCAGGTAAAGCTTGCCAACCCACACCTTTGACCACACGCTGATCTTTAAACTTAAAACATAAAATGCCCACCAACTCTAGGGTGTTAAGGAAGGGGGGATGCTACAATGGCTGACGTGGTGTTCACACACGTCATGCACACGTCGAGGTGACCAACTTATACGACTGGGTGTAATATTGGTTGAGGCCGTAGTCTCCATTCCGTTCTCACTCGCTCACTCACTCTTTCCATGAAAAGTAAATATATTTGTTTTCTTCTTAACTGCTTCAGTCTGACTAATAGACACTTTTCCTACTCAATGATGGGTACACTACCCCCCACAGGATGGGTATGGATCCACTATCCCCCAACAGGATGGTACACTACCCCTACAGAATGAGAATGATGGTCCATAATGAACTAAACTGACTCCCAGTGCCCCATGTGATCTTGATAAAGGTCACACGGGTACACTACCCCCATCCCGGAGAGGTAGTGGATCTCTCTGCTCTGGCACAGGGCTCCTGAAGGGCGTCCGGGAACTCTTGAACATTGTGTAACACTTTTGGTAGTTGTCTTGCTTCCTAAGGTGCTGCAAATGTCTTATGATGACTCGATTTCCGTATCATTATTTTCTCGTTAAATACATGAGTATTTATGAACGTGTTGCCAATAAAGTCGCCCCTTTGGGCAAAATTTAATTTAAAAAAATACTAACAGGTGAAGGTAGCTGACGAAGATGGCCAGGTAGTCCCAGTGGGAGAGTCCGGGGAGCTCTGCATCAGAGGCTACTGTAATTTCTTAGGCTACTGGGAAGACCCGGAGAAAACCGCCGAGATCATGGGTGTTGACAGATGGCTCAAAACCGGGTAAGTGTTGTCAGTTGCTATGGCAGCGTGCACGTGGTTGACTAGGGCAGTGGACATGTTGTCTATTATTTGTTGACAAGAATTTTGTAGCATTAGAAGCAGACGGTAATGGTGTATTATTGGTTGACAGGGATCTGGCCGTTCTTCAACCGGACGGTTACTGTCGCATCATCGGCCGCATCAAGGACATGATCATTCGCGGGGGAGAGAACATCTACCCGGCGGAGGTGGAGAACTTCCTCTTGAGTCACCCCTCCATTATTGAGGCTCAGGTGAGTACGCTCCATATCTTGCCATATCACGTGCCACTACACGAGGTGTCAAGTAGCTCACCATCACTACCATAGTATCAACTACCATACGCCCAGTGTATGATAGTAGCCATGTCTTATCCTAGACCAGAGCTGAATAAATGGCGTTGAGACTGGCTTGACTCCTGGATGGGGCTGTCACACTTCCCTGACCCTCTACTCAAACGGCCGCTTTGTGTTGGTACAAAACAAATTTCTGGACAGTGTTCCTTACCACTATTGAACAATTTTGTCTGCAAAACTGATCACATTTCAATTATAGTATGTATTTTAAGACATAATAATAATAATAATAATTTTTATTTAGGCAAAGGTACATACATAAAGAGATTTTACAAAGTTTGTTGGCTTTATAGATAAGAGCTAGTACATACAATGCCTAAAGCCACTATTACGCAAAGCGTTTCGGGCAGGAAAAAACACTACTGACTAAAGCTTAAAACTAATGGGTAAAAAGAAAAAAATGCGTTGAGTACAAATAAAAATAGAGGTAAAAGAGGGGGGAACATTGTTGAAAAAACTGCACAAATACAATTACAAATTATTACAGAAAATTACATTAAAACAGTGTTGATTTGAAAAACCAAAAAAAAAAAAAAACATACATGGGTTGACAATAGAGGGGTAAGGTAGGTTACAGGGAATTTATTAGGTATAGCTTCGTTTTTAACTTAAACTGGTTGAGAGAGGTACTGTCTTTAACATGGTTGGGAAGGTCATTCCACATTCTGGGCCCCTTGATTTGTAGAGCATTTCTGGTTTAAGTCGTACTCTAGGAATATCAAAACTGTATTTATTTCTGGTGTGGTGCTCATGGGTTCTGTTACAACCTTCTATGAAGCTTTTCAGATCAGGATTGGCATTACAGTTTAGCGTTTTGTATATGTATAGTACACATGAGAGAATGTGCAGTGACTTAATGTCTAACATATTCAGGGATTTGAGTAGGGGTACCGAGTGATGTCTGGGGCCAGAATTGGATATTGTCCTAATAGCAGCTTTGTGTTGAGTAATTAGAGGACGTAAGTGATTTTGGGTAGTAGAGCCCCAAGCACAAATACCATAGTTGAGATATGGATAGATAAGGGAGTAATAGAGAGTCACCAGGGCAGGGCGTGGTACATAATATCTGATCTTAGAAAGAATGCCCACAGTTTTTGAAACTTTTTTTGATATGTTTAGAATGTGTCCCTGGAAATTCAGCTTGTGGTCAATGAGAATGCCAAGGAATTTGCCATCTAATTTGTTACAAATTTGGGTATTGTTTATTTTGAGATTTATTTGATTAGAGGATTTATTGCCAAACAGAATATAGAAAGTTTTGTCAATGTTAAGGGTGAGTTTGTTGGCAGTTAGCCACAGATGGACTTTATTTAGCTCAGTATTTACTGTGGCATTTAGAGCAAGGGGATCAGGACTGGAGTAAATGAAGGTTGTGTCGTCAGCAAATAGGATTGGTTTGATTGTGATTATATGATTATGATTATATTGCTTTTTATAATTTGTCATATCTCATGTGTTGGTGTTTCCCCAGAGGCCCTTTGTCTTCCTTGCGGGCCTTCTCGACATGTAAACAACTCAATGTTTGTGATTCAGGTGTTTGGTGTTCCGGACGCCAGGATGGGGGAAGAGGTGGCTGCTTGGATCCGCAGAGGTGACGATGCTCAGCTAGATGAAACTATTCTCAGAGAATGGTGCAAAGGCAAGGTAGGTGTAGAGGCAGTATGTTGTAATGTTGCTGGGACCGCCATAAAATACTCAAATTGTATTTTTTACTACCGAGATTAGAGCTATCTTATAATATACAAACGGAAGACTGCAAGATTTGGTCCCAAACCTGCACGTTGAAATTACAGCATGCCAGAATGAGAGATTTACCTAAATTTACCTGAAGGCCACTATCTCTATATGCTTTACAGCTCCCCTCTTCCCCTGATTATTTTTGAGGATTTTTTTTCCGGCTGAGTTATGAATTGGAGAAGTCTGTTGGCATTTATGGCTGTGGCGGGTAGGCGGTTTCATGGGTTTATAACCCTATAGGTGAAAATCATCTGTTTTCTATTCTATATTGTGGCTTGTTGAGCCTGAAACCGTTCTTCCTTGTTTGTGTCACAGTGGAACTTTAAATGAAGTGGTCTTTATTAATATCGTCCAACCTTTCTGTTTTTAAGATCTCTAGCAGATTAGCCATGTCCAGTCTGGTTTGTTGTGTTTGTTCTGGGGAATTGCAGCACGAGTGCAATGATGAGTGAGGGGAACACAGGCACGAGTAGAGAACTGTGAACATGAGCAGAACGACTTTTCAATCTCATGATGACAACAAGTATAGGAAATATTGCTGTAACGACAGTAGAAGCTTTCTAGGGAACTTGGCAGGATTCTGCCAGAGTTACCATCGTGCAGGCTGTGATGGGTATGTGGCTGTGCTGCTACTCAAACAGCCTCGTAGACCAGGCAGTCACCAAGAAAGGCTGGCCCCAGATCAGGCTGCGATAGGATAGGAACTATCAATATCATCTCCAGATTATGGCTTCAACTGTGCACAAATAATATCCTATTGAAACTTTGAATATATTGATATCAAAACAGTTATATAACTGTTATCTTGTATTACTAATAAGTACAGTATATGCTTTCCCAAATACGTTATGGGATTTCAGGGGATACCACAAATTATACAGTGGTATAATTTCAGGGGTTACAAGTCCGAAAACGTTTGTCCTGCTGTGGGAACCGAACCCAGGGTCTTTCAGTTGCGACCCGGTTGCACTGACCCCTACGCTTTTTAACTAGAAGATTTCAATGGGGTATTTCAACACGGGACAGAAATGAGCTGAAGAATACCTCCATCACAAGTGACAATGAAGGAAGGTAGTGACTTAGTGAAGGACTTATATAAATCAGCGTCGTGGATGGGAGCGAAGGACCAACATGTTGGCGTTACCGTTGACGCCGCACTTACTTCCTGAGCGGCCCAGAAGCAGCAGAGTTGGTTATAGAGGTCTCAGGCCATCATGGCCAGGATACCCAGAACAGACACACCTGAATTGTTAAAAAAAAAGAGCATTTCAAAACATGTTGCTAGGATGGTTGTATAATGTTGTTAAGATAATTGGGACAGAGAAGGGGTTAGTCAGATTGAATTATCATTGTTTTAAGACAAAGTAATGTCTGTAAGTCAAAACTGTTTTCTTTATTCTTTAGAAATCTTGCCATATTTTCATGTTTGGAAACTTTGCCTGGTTGCCACATTGCATAATTTTTAAGCTTAACATTCTCTTAAGTTTGATTACAAAATGTTGATATGTTCCAGATTGCTCACTACAAGATACCTCGCTATATCCTGTTCAAGGAGGAGCTGCCGAGGACTGTGACCGGCAAGATCCAGAAGTTTGTGATGAGAGACGCGACAGTGAAGGAACTAGGACTCGATGTCCCGCCACCGGTGCAGTAATGGGGTCACTTTACACAGTGCACTAACTGTACTATACGCTACAGTATACAAAATGCAGTACTTGTAGACTAATGCTCAAATACAACCATGAAACCAGTTGCATAGATTTTTGGGTAATTATGCACTTGATAAAAATCTATTTACCCACCAATGAATCTGAATCAAACAGGTATATATTTTATTAATGGTTTAGTGACCACTTCATTATATTGAACTCGTGTAAACGAAAATTAATAATATTTTGGAATAAGAAGATCCACTGTTCTGATCCACTGTGTCTTTGAAACGCAAGGTTATTAACTCCTCTATTTGAGAGGAATACTGCTAAGCTCTGCCTTACACATATGTTTACTGACGATGAATAATTAATGCACAAGATTTAATTAGAAATAATTACAACAGACCTTCTTTCTTTTCCTAAAGAGGTTCATCATCTTTCGAGTGAAAGAATATGTACGAGAAACACTGCTTAGATTATTCTTATAAATATTTTGAGTATATTTTGAAGCTTCAGTGACACCTGCTGAAGGCAAGATTACAGATATAGGCTGATGTTTATGTTCAGAATTGAACACAAACGGAAGGAACATGTGTTCACATCTCGTGGTGAACACAAATACAAGGAACACGTTCACATCACGTGGTGAAGTATGCAGTCAATGTTACCGGCATATTATTTTACTAAAGTGAGTGTAAGTTTCCTTACTTATGCAGGTTGTATTTTTATATTTGCAGGTTGTACTGGCACAACCAGTACCAACAAGGTGTCTGGTACCCCTGCCAGTGCCAGGTGTCTGGATGGTTCTTATCTGTGAATATATGTTAATTATACGACACAAAACAGACTCCTTAAACCCGTCTCTTTAAAAAAATAAATCATTATTCGGGTCAAATAAATACCTTATGAGGCAGTGAATATTTAATGATACCTGCGCTTATCTTAGAGAGCGCCTCTCTTCGAGAAATGCAAAATAAATACTCTAAATAGATGGAGGAGCCGACCGGTGGAGAGGAGTGTTGGTAATGACCAGAGGTACATTAGGAACACATGGTGATGTAGATGGCGGGGTTCAGCTCCTTGACCAGCTCCCCGTCAGCACAGGAGACATCGTCTCCCAGGCGAGTCAGGTACTTGGCCTCCAGCACCAGCCAGGCGATGCTACAGTCACAGGTGAGGGGGTTATCTGTCGGGAAGATGCAGGTGAGGGACGTTACTTATAAGGGAGAGTGTCTGATAGGGAGCTGATATTGTGTGAGGTTATGTAAATAGTAATGAGGTTGCGTCACCTGTCAGGGATACATGAGGTGTCCCTGGCATGAGGGACACCTTATGCCAGTGACACGAAGGGGCTTTCTTATCCGAGAAAATGGACGAATAAAGCTCTAACCTTCCCTAGTGTCAGATCAACTAAACGTCTTTGTTAAAGAATTTTGAAAGAATGAATTTGCTGCAATAACAGATTTGAATACTACACATTTTAGCTCGTGAACAATACCGTAAGAACATGATTCACAGGCATATCAAAATATGAATGTTTATTAATGACAGTAATAAAGAGCATTGTATTCGATTAATATGGAGTAGTGTAGACCTATGGGTGTTGTTTATTTGGAGCTAACTTGACTTTGGGTTTGTTTATACAGGGAATATTACATCCTTTATCGTTGGCGGCAGTGAGGTGTGCCAGCAGTGAGGTGAGCCAGCACACTGCCAGCTGGCACAGCTCACATCACCCGCTCAATACCCTGGGACCTTACACACTAGGGACCTCACACTCCATGGACCCTATTGCTATAGGTTTATATTGGCATTTCTACTATGGATACTACTGTTAGTACTACTATTTAAACTGCTACAGGTACTACCACAATAGTTTCTACTACTTCTGCATCGGGTACTATTAGTTTAATAATCCGGTTACTGAGAAAATCAGTAGACGCCATGATAAGTATTCGAACCGGCACACGGGGTACTCCCAAGCATAGGAGTATCCAGTGTGTTGGTTCGAATCCTCATCATGACTTCTACTGATTTTCTCATTAATCCATCATGTTAATGTGACGTGTGTGTGTGTGTGCACCTGTGGTACTGCTGTTTCTCTCCTGGACACTACAATTTCTGCCACTACTTCTCAGTGCAGTTTCTTCTACTGTAAGTATTACTGTTATTAAGAAAGTTTTATTTCTTCGTGAACTTTTGTTATTACTGCCATAGCCATTAATTGTTCGATTATTTTATTATAATTAAATAAGTATTATTTGTTATTGTACAGTAGCAGAGGACTTGTGACTGGTGTTAGCAGGCTTAGAGCCTCCCCACACCACTACAGTACTATAATGCTACTGACACCACTCCGCTGTAATGTTCCTAAACTTGTAATATTTACAATTATGACATCATTTAACTGTTGTGTTCCACATTCTGACGAGCAGGAATTGTTGTTGCTGATGTTAGCCGGAAAGAGATACACCGAAGTGACTTACCGGCTGCGTACAGTATGAGGTTGGCATCGAACAGCGACCGCCACACCTCCTCCGCCAGCTCCGTCAGTTCGTTGCTCTGAAGCCAGACGTCGCCAGTCACACCTGACGAAGGAGCAGAGGGACCACTAAGTGCAGGGACAACAACTAGCAGAGGGTACGGACAACCAAGCAGCGCCAAGCCTTCGCTGTGGAGGGAGCTGGAGCAGCCACCAGGTGGAAACATTAATGTGAACATCATACACAAGCCAGGTGACCCTGATCATCTGGGCAACTTTGTCAAACATCTCGTCTGTGAATTATGAATAATTCACAAAAAGAATGTGTTGAATGAGACATTTTGTGGTTACGGAGTTAACACATAAAGAAAGTTTCTAAAATCGGAAAAACTTTATAGTTTTATCATAAACATGGAAAGTAAATAGGACGTCCTGAGTAGTGTTCATCAACCCCTACCATAGCATCATTACCCGCAACCCCTACCATGGTACCCAGCGTTACTTCTGGTGTAGGGTTCTTCGTGTGGTGGACGGCTCTTCATATCGTACGGGGGATCTACATTGAAAATTTTCAAGAATGCTGCAGTTCAATACAGAAATTACAGGCACATGGAATAAATGGTATATTAGAATGGATAAAACTATGGTTAAAACACAAAAAACAATGGGTCGTGCTAAACGGGAAGGAATCGGACTAAAGAAATGTGATGAGTAGGGTACCTCGGGGTTCATTTTGGGGCCAACCCTTTTTTCATATGCATCCATGACATAGATGAAAATATTACAAACCACATCATCAAATTTGCGGATGACACTAAAATGTATGGTAAAGTTGGAAGTGAAAATAATATTGAGGCTTTACAAAGAGATCTACATGAACGCCACAAATGGTCAGAAGACTGGTAAATGCTTTTTAATATCGATAAATGCAAGACCTTGCATGAGGGGTCATAACAATCCACGTCACAACTACCAAATTGATAAATTTACCTTTAAATTTACCTGCTTTACCTTCAGCAGATTGATGAATAAAAGGATCCTAGAGTCAGAATCCATCATTCACTGAAAGTTGCGCAACAAGTGGGAGCGGTAGTGAAAAAAGCTACACAAACTAGGAATAATCAAGCATACCTTTACCTTTAAGGAAAATATGGTAATCATTCAGTTGTATAAGTCTGGTGCGCCCCAACTTGGGTCATAGATGCTCTATGCTTGGATACATGAAGAATGTAGACCACATCTTCAGAAAGACAGCTTCATTGGAGAAAGCTCAACACCGGGCAACAACAATAATTCCAGAACTATATCAACTCTCATACCAGGTCTAACAACACTGCAAACCAGGCATGACAGGGCGGATTTCATCGAAACCGGTAAAATACTGAACAATTTGGTGGATGTTGATCTAGACTTCTTCTTCAAAAGGTCTGATGTAACACAAACAAAGAAGGTTTCAGGCTCAACAAGCCACAATGTAGGACTGAAAACTGGAGATGCTTATTCACCCACAGGGTTATAAACCCATGGGTTATACCCGCTGAAGCCTAAATATCAAAACCCTGATGAATTCTAAAATCCAGCTTGCAAAAATCATCAGAACGAATGGGGGACCTTTCAAGGGCTCCTGTCCTCGTCGAGGCCACTAGAATGTTAAGTGGCCCTGAGGTAAATTCAGGTAATTCTTTAATTTATGTGAATGTGAAGAACAACAAACTAAGGTTTTCAGTGACTATACTGTTTTAAATGACCAATTAACCAGCATCGATATAAATGGACTATACCAGAACGTTCCCTTACAAGCTGTAATTCCCCGACCCTTACTGTGGCACATTGATAGTGTCTGGGGCTCTAGTGATAGAGAACTCGAGTATGATAATGTAGGAACCTTTACCAAGCCCCCGGCTTCCTGGCCCCCCCCCCCCCCGCCTAAGCCACTACATATGGTGGCCTCCAGGTACATTCTGGTAAAATCTAACCTTGAAGAGCACCAGTTTCGATGTTGCGTATAGAGTTGTCTGAGAGGTGGACGGAGCTACTGGAGGTGCTGAGAGAGATGACCCCCGCCGGCAGAACACTCAGGGTGTTGTTGTCCAGGTAAATTCTCTGAAGAGTATTAATCCCGGTGAACGTTCCTGCGGGAAAAACACGTGTCATATTAAACTATAATGGCTGCCAACCAAGGAACACTTTAGATTAGATTAGATTAATTTTTTTATTCAGGTAAAAGTACATACATTGAAGATGAGTTACAAACATAATGTTGGATTTAAAGATAGAGTTAGTACATATAACACCCAAAGCCACTAATACGCACAACGTTTCTGGCAAGGACACATTACCACATTAATCATTAGCAAGATTACCATGTGGCAAGGACGCTAAATAAATATATTTTGTGCACATAACTTGGACTAGTTTACTTTATTTCAAAATTAAGCTGACATAGATATCATTAATTAAAAATAAAAATAAATTTCAGCTATATCAGTCCACATAGATGTCTTTTTGAAGACCGAATTGCTGTATGGTCAGTGAAAATTACTCTGGCAGAGGCAAAACTAAATATAACTTAGTTCACCCTCCACCATGCTCTCTCATGCCTGGAGGGTCATCCAGCGGTAACTCATTTATCTCAATGCATGTAACTGCGTGACGCAGTTGGGATCACGTCAGACTGTTATATCCAAGACCATCTCAGACTGACACATACGAAACCAACATAAGGGTGATTTGCTCAAGCTAAGAGTTAAGTTTACACAACAGCCATGGCAAACCTCTACTTGTCCAGAAACGCCAAGCTGAGAGTTGACTTTAACGATTGACAGTGTGTGGACACATCTGGCAGAAATGCACAGCATGAGCTGCTTATGAAAGGAGAACGTTAAGTGAACGTGAGGGAGCAAGTTAAAATTTATAGTACTGGAGTATTAGTTTAGGATATATATAATAACCTCTTAACGTCGTGCTTAGTTACATCGACGCCAGAGTCTTTTTGTTGTGTTCGGCTAAACCTGTACCAACCTGCAGGGACTTCTGGTAGATCGCAGCTCTGCAAGTCAATCTCTCTCAGGTTCGGGAGTTCCTGCAGAGCCGTCGCTTTGATTTCTCCCAGTGGGTTATGTCCGAAGTTTACGTACATCAAGGAGGACGATTTTAAGTCAGGGAAGATCAACAGGTTGTTGCTGTACACGTTTAAGTTTTGTAGTTTAGTGAAGGAATCAATTTCATCGAATGGAAATGAGGTGATGTCATTGTTATGAAGATCTAGTAAGGTGAGGGTCGAGTAGCTATTAGCGAGAGCTTTCTCGTCGATGGTCTGTAGCGCTCCATCGGTGATGCGGATCTGCTGGTAGGTGGTCGGACCCAAGTCTCCGGCCCTCAGTTCTGTGATTCCGTTATTCCCATTGATGTCCAGACGGATAAAGTTAGTGAATGGGAAATTTATACTAAAGATTTCTTTTAGCTCATCTGAACTGCTGACATCTGAGCAGTCCATGTACATGTCCACACTGTTCATTAAGGAACAGACGCAAGGGGCAATGTCGGCCTCTGGCGGACAGGGAATAGCCCGGGAAGAGGGTAGGTCGTCCCCAGCACACAGGGGCAGCACCAGCAGCAGCACCGTCACCCACCTCCTGCTGACCAACATGGTGATAGACCCCTCTGAACCTGCTGATGAAAATCCCAGGAAACTATTTAAGTCTCAAATGGCAGTGCCAGAAGTCGTCTGGATCACACAACGGTCGTAGGAAGAGTGCAGGCTAATACTGAACCCCCTTCTTTGTACTGACCGCACCTCAGTGTCCTGACTTCAGCTGTCAAAAACAGATAGTTGACTGGTGCCCGTGTCAAGAGGTCCAGGAGTATATCAGGACTGTGTACTGTCACCATGAGAACCTTACCACCTGTTCCCCTGATAATGCTTACACATTTTTACAAAGAAGCGAGCATTGCGTACGTGGCTGTCTTCCTCAAAGCAACCTCCTATGTCCTCACTTGTCTCTCGACCAGAAGGCACAAACACACTTGGAGTCCAGTTGTCATTACAAAGGAGACTGGGCAGTGTAATGGACTGAATAAATAATTCTGTTAGATTAAGGATCTGCCCGAAATGCTGCGCGTACTAGTGGCTTTACAAGATTGTAAATACTATGCTAAATAAATTACAAAATATTCGTTTAACTTGACCAGAACATGTCTTCTCAGTCAAACAACGACGCATAAGGTGCGCAACGCAGGTGGGTCTACTAAAGTAGCTGTGCGAGGGTTGTGCTTCAGCTCTTCAGTCCCGCCTCTCAAAATTCAATCAACTGCTGTACAGATTCTCACGCCTATAGTGCTCTGTCGGTACTAACGCCTGTAGTGCTTGATGGTGGGTATGGAGAGGGAGAGTGATGATGGGTGTGGAGAGGAATGGAGTGATGGTGGGTGTGGAGAGGGATAGATATGGCAGGATAGAGAGAGATGGCTACTGATGGTGGGGATGGAGAGGGATATAAACATGGTATGAGAGACACTTGGTTATGACGCAGTTTGATGCGCGAGGCTTGAGAACGTGCATGTGGCCAGCTATCTGCAGAGTTCAGCCCCTCCTGTTTACACAGTACCTATAGGAAGGATGTGGACCATCGTGCAGGTTTTAACGTAATGGAAATTAGAAAATAAATTAGAAAATTAAAATTTGGTACTATTGAATTTGGACAACCTGGAAAGGTTTTATATTTATGTTGCTAATAAAACCCAACTCATTCTTCCTAAGCCTAATACACGCTATCTGAGGCCTAATATAGTACATATATGTGCTATACTAGGCCTAGGAATATTAAAGTTTGGATTTTAGCTTTATTTTTTCAGGGCTATTCACTAAAGTGAATAGTACCAAATTCTACTATCTAACTGTCCTTGGCGCCAATGTACGATGGTTCATATAGTTACAAAAATTAGTATGTAAACAATAGGATAGACTTGGTAGAATTATAACGCAACACCAGTGTCACTGTGTCACAGCTACACCATGATGACGCAACACTAAAGTCACTGTGTCACAGCTACACCATGATGACGCAACACTAAAGTCACTGTGTCACAGCTACACCATGATGACGCAACACTAAAGTCACTGTGTCACAGCTACACCATGATGACGCAACACTAAAGTCACTGTGTCACAGCTGCACCATCATGACGCAACACTAAAGTCACTGTGTCACAGCTACACCATGATGACGCAACACTAAAGTCACTGTGTCACAGCTGCACCATGATGACGCAACACTAAAGTCACTGTGTCACAGCTGCACCATGATGACGCAACACCAATGCCATTTTGTCATCAGCCCGTCCTCCTGAGGTTTCCCAACGTCAAGAAAATTTTGAATTTAAAGTGTCCTCTCCTAACCTAGCAGAGGACCCAAAACAGGAAACTGAATAGATAAGGTGGACAATGATATCTTCTTCAAATTGAGAGAAAGTAGGACACAGATGGAAGCTGGGAACGCAAATGAGTACCGGTTTTCAACAAGTGGAATGCACTAAAAGAAAAGTTGTGGAAGTCATCTCCATTCACAGCTTTAACGCCAGATTCGACAACAATTTGAATGTTAGAATAGTTAAATTGTAACGCAATAAGTACAGCAAGGTGGTAGGCGGAGCATAAGGAGCTATACCTCACGCCTCCTTAGGTACTGTTAAGTAAGTACTGTTAGGTAAGTACCTCGTGTCCGATCTCAGAGTCCTCGTACCCAGCTTCATTACTTTGCACTTGCTAGGGTTGAACTCTAGCAGCCACTTGAGGGACCTGTCGATTCCATAGCTCTTAAGTCCGAGAATGCGTCAGTATTATGGTGCTCATAATTCCACTAACTCGCCAGAATTTTGACTTATTATCTGGATCACATTCCATGATTTTATTGAGATCAGTTAAACCTCAATAACTCTTTTTGCACCTAAATGTTTTTATTTTGTCTTCACTGTTCTGTTCATGATAACTGCAGGGTAGTTGTTCTATCTTACAGCACCCCGTCCCCAGGCTAGGCTCGTCCAGGCTGCGACGCACCACTAAAGACGTATTCGTCAATTTAAACGCACTGTGTATTCAAACTCGGTATTTTTCATATATAGAGTATTATTATCATATTATAATTTCGTATACAGTTAGGCCGAGGTTAGAGTAGGCTAGATCAGGTTCTTTGGGCAATTATTTATATTTGCAGTACGTTGGTGAAGTATTTATAACAACTCGTCCTTGGGCTAGGCTCGTCCAGGCGGCGGCCCACCCAAATACGTAGTCATAAGTATAACGAACTTTTCATTCAAAATCGACATTCTCAAATAAAAATAAGTATTATTATATATTAAAATTTGATGTATAGTAAGACCTAGATTTGGCTAGCCTCGGTGTTTACAGTCACTGATATTTGAAGTACGTCGTTGACTAAGCATTTCAACTCTTGCTCAGGCCAGGCTCGTTATATAGTTAGTAATTATCAAAAGAATGCACCAAAGGCTAGTTATAAAGCGCCGGCCGTCCCCCCATGACGTAGTCAGCAATGCTAACGTGTTGTGTATTGGTAGTCGGTTACTTGTATACAAATTAATATTTTTATGTATTAAACTTCTAGGTTTAGTTAAGCGTTGGTTAGGTTAGATGTATAAATTTTGTTGGGGATTATTTGTATTTCAACCCGTCCTCAAATCGTTAAAAACAGTCAAGAAGCAATCATCAATTTTTACGTATAGTGTATTAAAAATAAGATTGTATTTATATATAAATTATTTTATTATATTTTAAAGTTTTATGTATAGTTAGACTTAGGTTAGGTTAGATGTTTAGGCTGTTGGCAGTTATTTGTACTTGAAGTACGTGGTTGAAGAAGTGACAGAGTTGCGTTGGAGGACGAGCCGGTTAACGACGCGACCCGCTCGTCCAGATGTTGATCATTCGGTCAGTACTGGCGGTGATGTTGAGCACAGTGTCGATGTTCTGTGACAGCTTGCCCATGTTAGCCTACCAGGTGGTTTGTGTATCTTGTGACTAGTGTTCCGACTCTCTGTGTAAAGGCTTTAAACAGACAGGACCGTCTTTAATACGGTGTATCGTGGCGACTCTGGGACCAGCAAGGCGGAAAACACACGCGGATGCACACGTCCATTGTCACGTCGTCGTAGTAGTAGTAGCAGCAGCAGCAGCCGCAGCCTCGTCACCTCAACTAGTCATACAGGTAACACCATTTTGTCCCAACGTTTGTAGTTAATTGGCGAAGTGTTGGGACATGGCGGCCTAGTGTGTCCCACCTCCCCGCACCCACCTGCCAGGGTCCGCAAGACTTGTTTATGAGAAGATTACTGCAATTATTTCAGCCAAAACTACATCTCGAAGGTCTGGAAATACTTAAGTGATCCGTAGACATTATCCTGTTGTCCATACAAACGCCCACAGAGAGTGGTGTTGAGATTTATGGCGACATATTTACTGATATGAAGTAAGTATTGTTGTGGGCGAGGCTATGATGATCTGTTTATATGTGACAACTGTGCTAAAATCACGTCATTGGGATTTCCTAGGGTGTATAACATTGTTATGGTGTTTACATTATCCCGGGAGCAGTGCCTAAGTGTTATTTATGAATGGGTAATGTTTGGGAAGGTAGTCGTAATGTTTATAGTCAGTTTGAAGTTCGTTGTGGATAATATAATTTGGGGCTAAATGTTTATTAACCCTTTACCGCAGATTTAACACTCGTGTCTTATATATTTTTGCATTAGTATGTGTGTGATTGTGTTGTGTTATGATCAATTTTGTCCGAGTGTCCGGCGTTTGTATTGGGTATCCTCCTCCTGCGGCTCGTATCTACCTTCTGAGGCTCGTATCTTCCTCCTGTGGCTTGTATCTACCTCCTAAGGCTCGTATCTTCCTCCTGCGGTTTGTATCTACCTTCTGAGGCTCGTATCTACCTCCTGCGGCTCGTGTCTACCTCCTGCGGCGCGTATCTATCTTCTGAGGCTCGTATCTTCCTCCTGCGGCTCGTATCTTCCTCCTGCGGCTCGTATCTTCCTCCTGCGGCTCGTACCTTCCTCCTGCGGCTCGTATCTACCTCCTGCGGCTCGTATCTACCTCCTGCGGCTTGTGTCTACCTCCTGCGGCTCGTATCTATCTCCTGAGGCTCGTATCTTCCTCCTGCGGCTCGTATCTATCTCCTGAGGCTCGTATCTTCCACCTGCGGCTCGTATCTTCCTCCTGCGGCTCGTATCTTCCTTCTGCGGCTCGTATCTTCCTCCTGCGGCTCGTATCTACCTCCTGCGGCTCGTGTCTACCTCCTGCGGCTCGTATCTATCTCCTGAGGCTCGCATCTTCCTCCTGCGGCTCGTATCTATCTCCTGAGGCTCGTATCTTCCTCCTGCGGCACGTATCTTCCTCCTGTGGAGCCCATCCTCCTAAAATAATATTACTTATGACAACTGTTTGGTCAAACGTACAAATTTGGACTGTTTGAACCCAATAGTTCACCTTTTGTATTAATGAATTAACCCAAATGGCACAATAAATTGGAAAAGTAGCTAAAGGACCTAAGGTAAGTCGATATATATTAGGCCTACGAATGTTTAAATTTGGGTTTAGGCTTATTTTTTATGTCCCCTCTACAAAATTATTAGTATGAAACACTTGTTTACTAAGAAATATATAAACTATAAAATGTAGTATTTCCCTTGTAAATTGATGTATATGTGACATTTATACAGTATATTATTTAATAAAGAGAATAAAAGCTACGAAACGTGAATATCGTTGGTTGCGAAATGGACGAATATCGTCCATTTGTGCACGTTGGACCAATATAGTTGCTATAAGTATTAAGTCGTATTTTAGGAGGGGTACCACAGCTACGGTAGTGTGGTACTTGCCCTCAACTACTTTCCCTTTCAGGTTCAATCCAGCGACATGCGCTTATACTGACAAAGTTCCGCCTTACATCCCAATAGCTCGTAAGGGTTTCTAGTTTATACCCACACCTTTTCGTCCCACCTTTTATCATGTTGGGTACGTGCCCAACATGACCAGGCTAGGATTTTCGTAAAAGAAAACAGTGTTAGGTGACACTGTGCCATTGTCATCACCATGATAAATCTCTCAATACCATTATCATTATCACCCAACATTAAATTATTATTATTTTTTATATTAGAATTGGATGTGCTAATCATGCCAAAATTAAGTAAGACAACGATTATATTAATAATACTTACCTTTTTTAACTCTCCCAAAACTTTTATTTTATTTTCCATTTCCTTAGACTTTATGGGTTGCGTATTGATTAAATGACTATGAAGTCATTCCTTTCCTACTCTCTTGACTAGGTCAGTCAAACTCGAATTTGAAATCGCGTGTGTAAGTTGAATAACTATTGATAGCAAAATATGTACAAAATTAACAGGCTATCCTAGGTTTATGTTTATTTGAATATCTTTCGGTCAGTTTTAAACTTATTATAATATTGCATATAAGAAAAGAGTGGTTAATAGAAAATATATTGCCTATCAAACCCCCCATACATTACGTCCTCCTTTGATGGAGTGATAGACGGCCGACAGGCCTTAATAAAAACATATATATAAATATTATATATATATTTATTATATATATATATATATATATATATATATATATATATATATATATATATATATATATATATATATATATATATATATATATATATATATATATATGTCAAATGTAGAGCAATCATGAATGTACAGCTTGTATTGTAATCTATGGAGGTTGACACGTTGCATTGGAGTTGCATAGGAGTTGAGTTTTGATTAAGATGTAAATATCATCTAGGTAAAGAAGAAAAAGTAAAGTTAGGAAATAATTGTCCGAGTGATTCTTGATTCAATCAATCGTGTCAGTTGACGATCAGCCGGAGTAATCCAGGGGAGGGGCAGTGTTGCCGCTTCTTCCACTTGGTATTGAAAGGTATATAGGCTGGGAAGCATTATATTCAGATAATTATGTTTTTGAGAACGGCTGTATGTTAGCATCACTGTTTATGCACTTATGACTGCTAATTGTTATTGTTTAGTGCAGTTCCCTTTCTTTCCTGTAATCTTAGTGCGGACGGAATCTTTTTTTTTATTTAATGAGATTGGAAATTAGTATGATTTGCCATTTCATACAAAGAAGGCAGCATAGAGGGCGACTCCGGGGTCGAGCTCTGCCATCTCCGGACAAAGAAATAGTCACTGCAAAATTTGGTGAAGCTAGACTCAAGCGTCTGGTAACCAGCCTCGAGCAGACATACTCATACATATGTCTATAAAATTGTTCCTCCAAAGTAATTGTATTTACGTAGTGGGTGTAAAGTTATATTTTTGCATATAAAAGCCATACATTTTGATAATTCACATATTACTTAAAATGTAAAAGTGCATGCGACTGATGAAGTCAGGACAGGTGGTTAGCGACAATGATTATAAGTGTCAGGGTCCAGGTCCACCACCAACTCTCCGTCAGAACATGTTATATCATCACCCAGCCGAGTCTGGTAGTCGAACTCCACCACCAGCCAGGCAATGCCGCAGCCACACGTCAGAGGGTTATCTGTTGTGGAGATACAACATTTAATTATCTGCTAAGCAGAAGACGGAAGCAAGATTATTTTATGCTCTTGTTAGAAAAATGTCACTGTAAAGGCGTCACCTTTATAGTGACGAGGTTGTACAAAACTTTTATATATATTTTTTCGAAACTCATATGTAATATTATTTGATAAATAGGAGTTTCGAAAAAATATATATATAAAAAGTTTTGTACAACCTCGTCGCCATGTTAGGTAAACGCCTTTACAGTGACTTTTTCTAAGATCATAAAATATATAAAAATAAAATGAAAATGTAAGATTATCACCTCATGTGAGCTCTTAAGAAGACTATGCCTGTGAGTTATGAGTAGCATCACCCCTTTGTGGCTGTTCTAGAAACTGCCTTTTTATGGTCAGAATATTACAATGAATAGTTTATGAAAATAATTTTGTTTTATACGTTAAAGCTATTAATGTATTTGCATGGAATGATTTTTACATTTCAAGGTTTCTGATGTATGCGGCATTCGGTAATTCAATTAAGCACCATTAGATTTGGTCAGTAATTGGATGGGTGACCGCGAGGACAGCCTAGCATCTTGGCTACGGGGACCTCTATAACCCCGATAGGTTTCCTGTTCCCGACAGTATGAAACTAATCATTATCATTGCTAGATTTACACCAAAAGCATATGTTACATATGAATGAACTATTTAAAAACTTTAATTCAAATCTGATCAATTTTAGCAGATTTATATCTATATAAAACAGAATTTCTGTCAGAAGAGGCTAGAGGCTTGGGGCTAGGCTCGCCTAACTAGATATAGTTTGAGTGTTATTGTACTATTCCATGCGAGTGGAAGCAATTATTTAAATTTAATCGGCTGGGGACTTCTTACGGTAGATATTCACTATCATTCTAGTCTTCCTGGTAAGACGTATTTGGCGACAGGTGGAGATGGGGCGCCGGATGTAGGCGTAAATTAAGTAAGCTACAGCTTGGGGGCCTTTCAGTATTTCCGAATTTTTCTTTTAGATATTAGCAGTTTATTCTAACCTGTATTTAAGCTATGATTTAACCAAAGGTTTTTAATCATAGGAGTTACATACATTGTCATTGAACTCACTGGAAATGACTTTCCATTATTATTTTCCTATTAATATATGTTTTAAAAATATATGATTATTACAGGCATTTTTTTAAAAGTTCCAAAGGAGCAGCCTCCTCTCCTCCCCGCATGGATTTGTTATGCATCTTGGCAACAGTCTTGCCAATTACACACAGAAATCACAATAGCGTGATGCATCAGTGAACAAATCCTCAAGGGCCGTGACGAGGATTCGAACCTACGTCCGAGAGCATCCCAGACGCTGCCTTAATCGTCTTAAGGCAGCGTCTGGGATGCTCTCGAACGTAGGTTCGAATCCTCGTCACGGCCCTTGTGAATTTGTTCAGTTTTGACAAGTTCAGTTGCTACTTCGTTTTATTATAATAACATTTGTCAAATACGGCCTCTACAGCTTCCCACAGCTTACGCCTTAGGGCCTCACCATACCTAAATCCGGCCCTGAGTAGAGAGCGGAGTTTACTAAGTTCCCTACCCAGAAAACCGAGGCCTTCTCATGCAGGCTAGAGATATGAAGTCTCAGTAGGAGTGGGACACTAGGGTAAAAGTGTTGATGCTGAACCTGGGGGCGTGTATCCTAATTTAAAAGTGGCTTCATCAAAGTATTGCAGTGGAGGAAATAACTTATTTGAAACGAAGAATGTGCTCTACACATTCTGGTGTGGAATCAAAAGATTTGGTCCGCATTTACACATATAATATTTATTCTATATTTAAATGGGTTACCGGCAGTACTCGGGTCTCGCTTCCCTCCATCTCCGGTCTCCTATCTTCCGTCCCATGTCCCCCACTCCTATCCTCTTACCCATCACTCCTCTCGGTTTCTTTTACCCAACATCCCCACTTCCCTCCCATTTTCCCTCTCATTTACTCTCCACCCACTCTCTCGCAGTATATCTCAGAAAATGTAATACTGTAAGCTGAATGAATTCACGTTCATCGTTTTTGAGTAAACCATGAAATTGTGCGGGTAAACGGCGGGAGTAAGCGTAAAATCTCTACAGAAAACATATCCCGATTTCATTTCAGATTTCATGTAAATCACAGGGAGTTGCTATAGATGCCAATATTTCTCATATTTCATGTTGACAAGTTGGGTGAGGCTAACCCTAAGCACCTGGCATACTTTGGACAGACAGACAGACATTCTATTTAATATAAATAACTTATAATATTTATGGGGTCCATCCGGGAATGTAATCGCAAAATCTGCTGGGTCCACAATATTTGAATACATAGCATAATATTACATTTTGCATATTAGCATAAGCTTATAGGTATTATGTCTCATGATGGATTCTAATGTTTTAAATTTATAGTCTGCTGTAGTTATGAGTACTATTCTGCGACAACCATTTATTACTATTGGTTTATATATATTCTTTTAGAGATTACCACAAGGTTTAATACATATGAAAATTATAGTTGTAATAATATTACGTACCCTATATAATTCAGTTGATGATAAACATAAAAAGAATGCAATAGTAAGTTTTGTTTAAATGGCTTAATATTATCAAGCGGTTTACAGTTAACTCTTGACTGTTCTGACTTGTTGAACTGTTGTGTTTTGTATGTAAACTACTGACTGGTCTGCATTTGACGAGCAAACTTTTAATGACTTATTGCTGATGAATGACTCATGTTTAATGACTTATTGCTGATGAATGACTCATGTTTAATGACTTACTGCTAATGAATGACTCATGTTTAATGACTTTCTGCTGATGAATGACTCATGTTTAATGACTTACTGCTAATGAATGACTCATGTTTAATGACTTATAGCTGATGAATGACTCATGTTTAATGACTTATAGCTGATGAATGACTCATGTTTAATGACTTATTTCTGATGAATGACTCATGTTTAATGACTTATAGCTAATGAATGACTCGTGTTTAATGACTTATTGCTGATGGAGTTGGATATCTACCATGATGGATACTCATGGATATCTTGGAGATACTCACTGGCTGCGTAGAGTACGATGCCATCGTCGAAGAGCGGACGCCACACGGGGTCGTTGAGCTCGGGCAGCCGGTTGTTGGTGATGCTCACCGTCCCGGTCACTCCTGGTGGACCACCAGAAGACACATTCTAAATCAAATATGAAACATCATTTATGTGTTGTACAAACACTCCAAATGACACTGCAGCACTTGTCGGAGTGTGGGGCAAGAGGATGAATCTAGGATGTTGAGTTTCAGTGGGTCAGCTCTGAAGAGGTGGTTAACTCTCTGGTCAAGAGGGTTAACTACCCCTCTTGAGCTGAGGGTAGTTAGATCATAGAGGGTATGGACTTTATGGGCGGTGAGAGTTGGAAACGTGAGGCGGCTCTTTCTCAGGCCACGTATGAGCTTTGTCTTTCCTTAGTATTGAGATCGACTCAAATGGAACTTGAGATGGAACATACTTTGAGTTTCTCCAAGCTCTGGTGTCAGTGCTACAGGCAGACGTAGAGTAAGGTAGAGCTGTTGCTTTTCCTATAGGAAGTCATAAATCTTCAAGTCTGATATAATGTTATCCAGCCTATTTCCACTACACAGCCTCACTCTTCTGTTATACTGTAGGTCTCTCACGCTATCCGGCGCTATCCAGGCAGGCTGTATGACACACACACACACACACACACACACACACACACACACACACACACACACACACACACACACACACACACACACACACACACATTAATGGCTGAGTGGGGGCGCCTGGTGGCTGAGTGGACAGCACTCAGTTCTCGTAATCCTGGGGACCGGGGTTCGATCCCGGCGATGGCGAAAAACAAATGGGCAGAGTTTCTTTCGCCCTAATGCCCCTGTTACCTAGCAGTAAATAGGTACCTGGGAGTTAGACAGCTGTTACGGGCTGCTTCCCGCGCGCGTGTGTGTGAAAAATTGATCGTTGATTGATTGACTGTTGAAAGGCTGGCCGAAAGAGCAGAGCTCAATCCCCGCAAGCACAACTAGGTGTATACACACAATAAACTTCTCCATTATGGCAATGTCAGACCACGAAGGAAAAAGTAAGAAAGGAATTTCCTTAATTACTTTCGTGTTTAATAATACATCTTCAGAAAGATAAATTATTATTCATTATTTCTGAAGTGTCACTGGCATTCCTTTGTGTCCCTGCCAGTTATCTTTGACAGGTCAGTGACTTATCCAAAAACTATTGAAATACAAAATAGCAACGCAGCCCGCAAGAATGTCGTGTCTTGACGACATTCGGACACAGTGGGAGCCGGTCGGCCGAGCGGACAGCACGCTGGACTTGTGATCCTGTGGTCCCGGGATCGATCCCGGGCGCCGGCGAGAAACAATGGGCAGAGTTTCTTTCGCCCTATGCCCCCTGTTACCTAGCAGTAAAATAGGTACCTGGGTGTTAGTCAACTGTCACGGGCTGCTTCCTGGGGGTGGAGGCCTGGTCGAGGACCGGGCCGCGGGGACACTAAAAAAGCCCCGAAATCATCTCAAGATAACCTCAAGACATTCGGGCTGTTCTAGACCAAGTTGCGGCCAACTCCAAAGACTGATTTATCTTAACATACTTGTATCCAAGATCAGTATTTGTTAAATACAAATTATTAGACTTACGTGAATAGTCTGACCGTAATCAAAATAGGCAAGATGTTTAGATTCGGTTGACTTTTATTTGTATTTGTAGTACGACGTAATGCATTTACAGAGATAGAATTCGAACAAAGGACGTCAGCGAAGCACTGTTCGAAAAATATTCGATTGTCATTAGTCGAGTTGTGTGCAACAGCCCGTCCTTATCCACGGGAGACATCTCCCGTCACGCAGGGTGCAGTTGCACCTCCACAGATCTCCAGTATCATCTACTGATACTGGTAATGGCTCAAAAGGGCCACCGCTTACGGGCTATTCATGCCCGTGCCACCTTTTGGGTGGCTTAATCTTCATCAATCAATCGTCTTTATCAACAACGGCCAGATATCCCATGCTGCCGGTCAACCACTTTTGTGACTGGAAAAACGCTTTAAATACGACTCGCAACTTATGACGTTCGAACACTTGTGGAGCAGTGCTTCGATAACGAACCACAACTGCCCGAAATTCCAAAATATGCCCGAAACGCTTTGCGTAATAGTGGCTTTAGGCATTGTATGTACTAGCCCTATCTATAAATCCATCATTCTTTGTAAAATCTCTTGTATGTATGTACATTACCTAAATAAACATTTATTTATTTATAACTCTGTAAAGGCTTCAACCTCGTACTAAAAATACAAGTAATTACCAACAGAACCTAAACACCTAACCTATGCCAAAATATATACAATATGCTAATATATAATAATATTAATTTATATCTGAGAAAAAAATTATATTTGAATGAACAGCATGTTAACAATGACCAATGAGTCTTTGGGGTCGGCCGCTGGGTGGAATGACCGCGCGGAGCCTGAGGACGGGCTGGGAGTTCATGGCCGGCTGCTTGGCTACACTGGGTCGTTTCCACTTCAGTTTCAATGTGTGAATTTGACACAGCAAATGCGGCAGGAAACGCAGTTTAAAGTAACTACGATAGTGTTAATTAGCTAAACATCTGCTTGGATTAGTTATTTATACCATGTAATCTTACCTTGCAAAGCGCCAACTGCCACGTCTGTTATGTAGTTGTTATTGAGCAGGACTGTGCCGTCAGCCTCCTCCAGGTGCACAGCTCCCGCTGGGATGGTGCTCAATAAGTTGTTGTTAAGATTAATGACCTGTAGTGTGTTAACCCCCGTGAACGTATCTGTGGGAATGAGATAAAGTAATTGTCAGGGTAAAACGCTTGGCCAGTATTACCATATAGTGATTGGCAGGGGTAGGACACGGAGGCGGGTTATGTGGACGGAGTTAACGAGCCACGACCAACCACTGGGACCCTCGGGAATCGAGCACAGACTCCGCAAGAAGCGAGGCCGTCGCTTTATACCCACTAGTCCAAGTGGACGATCTTGCCTATAGGAATAATATGAATCAAAATAAATTTTCTATATGTATTCATCAAACATTAATACCAGCTACAGCTGTTGATGGACAACGAGCAGACATAATTACAAAATATATATACTGCATATTAAACTACAGTATATCAGTCGTCAGACGGAGGAGGCCTCCAGTGAGTTATTGGTCACTAACTGAAATTCTCTCAAGCTAATGGTTAGATGGCTTCCAAGAGGTCACCCGTCCAAAGATTGACCACGACCCGAGAGAGCGAGCTACGTTATATCGCCCACGGCATTGACACCGGTGAACGCTATATCATTGTAGGCCTCAACCATTGATTACCAAGCTTCACTCATTGATGACTATGCTCGATAGAATCGTTACCTTAGTCATATGAAGCCATGTGCGAACGCCGGTTAGTTGTGACCTACGACCCACAGCAGGGTAATGGACGGCTGGTCACTGGGAAACCCACTCACCATCATCATTTGCACGGCCTGCTTCCCTCTGGAGGTTAGTAGTGATGACTGTCCTGGTCAGTCTGGACTTACCTGTAGGGATAGTCGGTATGCTGCATCCCTCCAGCTGGATCTCAACCAGCGCTGTTAGGCCGCTCAGAGCTGTCGACGGAATCCCTCCCAATGGGTTGTTGCTAAGATCCAGTAACTCCAAAGTGTCAGATGTTATAATTGGAAACGCGTCTAATTCATTGTATTGTAATCGCAAGCTGGCGAGTTTTATAAATGAAGTAATTTCTCCAAATGGAAAACTTGTGATCCTATTGTTGTATAGATGCAACAAGGAGAGTGTCGTGTAGCTGCCTGACAGAGCGCCAGGGCCAATCGTTGTTAGATCTCCTTCTGTGATATAGATTTCCCGGTAGCTGGTCGGGCCTAAATCTCCTTCACTCAGTGATATGATATGATTGCCAATAATTTTCAGGATGTTAAAATGAGTGAAAGGAAATTGTGTGGTGGTAAAGATGGCTCTCAGCTCGGTACTGCTGACGACATCTGAGCAGTCCAGGTCCATATCAATATCATTAATGGCACTGCAGATGCAGGGGGCTATTTGGCTGGCTGGAGGACACGGCAAGAGGTCTTGCCCGGCACACAGTGTGAACACCAGCACCGCCGCCACCCAGCTACACCTCACAAACATGGTTCTCAGAGTCCGACAGGTACGGGACGAGTCCGACAGGTACGGGACGAGTATGGACCGCTCTTGTGCTGCAGGAGAGCGAGGGTGGACTGGTGTCCGTGGTGGGGCGTCCATAAGTATATCAACGTCGTGTCCTTGTGGCTTGGGAACTTACTGTTTGTTACCTGATAATGCTTCCATTTTTACACTCAAGTGGCTCTCAGTATTTTGAATGTAGTAAATAGGGGTTATGTTGTCAATGGTGAGAAATATGGAAGCTACACAGTACCATTTTCAGTATTACCATCACCAGTCCTGAAAAACCAAGTGTAATCGCAGCCACCCCTGTTCACCCTATTTTTCCTTATAGATATCCTAGTGAGAAAATTGCATTGGCTATAACACTTGTTAATTTTATTTCAGTTATTGCAATTGCATCTGGATTTGTGTACGTAACTAGTACTTGTCATCTCTTCCCAGCTGTTGTCATTACTCCCATAGTGTAGTGGTTCCAGTTGTTCCTTCGCCTCTTATGATTCGTTGGGCTAGTGACTCTTTAAGTCACTCTTGTTCAATGCTATGATCATTTTCTCTATAGGCTGGGTTGACCCATTAGTTTGTTGTACTGAAGTCTGACGCCTGACCTTCCTGTTCTTGCTTGTTGTGCTTTTGGTCCCGCTTTAATATACTTGCTCGTTTTGCTTCTCTGCTTCTGTTTGCTTCCTCTCAAACCTCGTGTGCCATGTCTTGGCTTATGAAGGCCTCAGGGTAAGTCCCCTCAGGCCCACAGTGTCCGCTCTTCAGCCACTATGTATTTCAACAGATTCTCAGAGTCTCAGATATTCTGAGACCACTTGCCTTGGTCAGTTCCGCTCCCATTTGGAACATACCAAGCCTACAGCAATGTTCACTTTTCCCCCTCACTGACCTGCACTGTAGTAGGAATTCCTGTCAGCTCTTTCTGGTCACCCTCTTCTTCTCCTTACCACCGTGTCTCCCTCTGGCTCTGGAAGATGACAGTAATATTGTTCCTGGTTAGTGTTATTATCTAATTGCGTATGCCTGTGAAGTATCCCCTCATACTTCTTTGACCTTTGCCTTGGGCAGGTCAAGGAAGATGTCTTGAAGGTTACTTGAAGGCTGCAGACTCATTATCTAGAGCAGTGACTAGTTGTCACAGCTTATTCTTAGTTCTTGGCTTCCTCTAGTTATAAATTGGTGTCTTCCACAAGTTGTAAACATGTGAAGCAAAGTGAACATTATCTAAGCTTCAGTTATATTAACTTTTGACAAATGTCTGTAATATACAAGTTAGTTTACCCAATATTGGTAATACTAGTATTGGTTATCTGATATTTTTGGCAATGGACGTTGTACTTACTGAATCAAAAGCCTTTCCGGGTTGTGTGAGCCTCCAACACATTCGCCCTAGATACGAGTTACATCATGGACAACTGGGAATATATTAAGCTCCAGTAATTCCTTCTAGAATTGCCCATCTGGAAGTTACTGCCCGAAGCGCTATGCGTGTTAGTGGCTTTCCAGGAATGTTAACATATCAATCTTATGTAATCTCACCAACCCATTGTCATTGTACCTTCTTGCAAATAAATTATTATTATTATTATTATTATTATTATTATTATTATAAACTTCGTTTATTTGCTGTATTTCTTTAAATTAAGTTTCCTTTCATGGCTCTTAATGGTGAGCTTTCTCAAACTCTAATCTATTGCTGCTTAAAAAGTTTACTGTTCGAATTATTGATAGGTCTTTAATTTCTTTAATTTATATGAATAAAACAAGAATACCACTTCATCAGCTTTCTATAATTTTTTTTACTGTTCATAATTTTAATGAAGAGTTGTGTTAAGAGCTTGTAATAATGCTTCTCGGATATACTCCGCCGCTTGGAGAGACACGGGAGACATCTCCCGTCACGCAGGGTGCAGTCGCACCTCCACAGTTCTCCAGTATCAGCTCTTGATACTGGAAATGGCTCAAAAGGGCCACCACTTACGGGCTATTCATGCCCGTACCACCTTTTGGGTGGCTTAATCTTCTCTCTCTCTCTCTCTTGGAGAGTCTTAATGTTTGTGTAGACCAGTCTGGTGGACATGCCTTCAACCGTTCTCTTGGTCTGTCATAATGTACAAAGTGATGACTTAACTAGAAACGTTCAAACCCAAGGAATCCCTCCCCACCTAACCCTTACCGACACTCGGAAAGCTTAGATAGTACTCTGTAATTTGTACGCTGGGGGCCACAACGCTGGGAGGGCCGGGCTGTCATCCCAGTACAAAACAGTTAACGTGATTAGTAAATGTTCACTCTACAGATCACCTGTAACTCTGGAACAAAGAATGAACAATGATTTTATATCTGATGTAGCCGGGTGCAATATAATGAGTTAAGGGTACGAGGTGGAACACGTACAAAGCGGTACGTATTCCCTCCACGTACCACGACCCTCCATGGTTCCCGCCGCCCGACAACAGGGAACGTACATGGCACCATAAGTTACACCAGAACTGACTGATACACGTTGATAACACGTGAGAAGTTGCCGTGTGGTGGACGCTGGCGGCCGGAGGCGCCGTCCCAAGACGTGCCACCGCAGGAAGAGTTAGCAAAAAAATGTGTAGAGCCAGGGAAGAGGGCGCTATCTTGCCTGGGTTCCCAGTGCCAGTCACGTCAGGCTGGGAATGTTGCTCAGGGCGCCGGCTGGCCGCCTCTCTCCGGCTCACACACGGCTTCTCGGAATTTCCGTATCTAATTAGTTTGGCACAGTTCTCCGTTAATATCTGCTGCATTGTGAATAACGGGGGGGCGTTACCAAGACCATAACGACGCAGTTACCTCTGCTGCGGGAGTCGGGATGGAACACTGGTCGTGTCCCTGGGAACACAGGCGTGCCTGTGGGTAGACCTGCGTGCCCCTGGGAAGACTTCGTGCCCCTGGGTAGACTTGCGAGCCCCTGGGGCACGCCTGCCGTGCCCCTGGAGCACGTCAGGTGTGCCCAAGGGCACGTACATGTAAGCTTGAACATTAGCGTGCATGCATCCATATAATCACTCATCACCCAATCACGGGCTCGTGAACTGAACACCAAATTCATTTAATTAAACACGTTACTAATTGACTAGTTAGTTAGTCTATATATTATAATATATATATATATATATATATATATATATATATATATATATATATATATATATATATATATATATATATATATATATATATATAGTCATTTAGAGCACCCTTGGCTCCAGGACTGGACTCTGAACATTGCAGGTTACATTTGTGGTGAGCCCGTTACATAGTTACTAATCATGTACCCATGCAATGGACGGCGGAAAGTTTACAATCATTTGCATCACTACCTACAGTAAACAAACTTTGGATATTTAGTTATGATTTCTGATAGTGCATTTTTGAATGAAACAGTTCCTGAACATTTGCAATAATTCTCTCTAAATTGTGAAATTCTTTCACATAATTACACAGTGGCGTAAGTTATGTGAAAAATTCTGCTGACAGAGTTTACATTAGGTGAGGTCCACTTCAGCAGGTGGTGCAGACTTTCAGAGCTATTTGTAGCCGAGCCCAAGCCTTGCAGTAGCCCATCACCGCTCCTGTGCCAGGTAAGTCCACTACGGGCTCACCATAGCCCGTGCTACTTAGAACGTTTTGTTCCCAGTAGCTGAATCTAAAACAACAACAACCTTGCAGTGGTCATATGTAAGAGTGTGCCCACCTTATTGGATGACCCATAGATGTGTGGCTCTTCCTGCTTCATAGTATGATGATAGATGAAATAACTTTATCTCATGTCTTCTAAATTTTGCTGCAGCTATATGAATATTGCTGCCTTCAGACTACTCAGAGGGAACCCAAGATGATAATCAGCTCCCTCTTTAAGAGCACACGCTAATTCATTACTTCTGTCATGCACTCGGAGGCCAATATATGATGGGATCCACAGGAGACAAACTCTGACTCCATCATATTCAGACAAAGGCTCGTCACAGCTATGTCTTGAGGAGTTGAGTGCAATCAAGGATGTGAGAACCGCTTACACATAACGTGTCAACTTTGAATACATGTACACCTTTGAGTGAGAACAGTATTTGAAACAAATCTGTCCGAAGAGTAGGAGACCCAGGTATTTATACGAGCTCCCTCACTCAGAATAGGCGCCGTCTCTAGTTGTACCTGGATGGGGTTCTGGGAGTTCTTCTGTTCCTGAGGCCCGGCCCGGGGCCAGGCTTGATAGTTTGCCTTGTGACCAGTTGTTACAACAGTTGTTACCTCCGGCGGCACCAGGAGACTGGTGTAAGGAGCAATCAGTGTAAACAGTTTGGGAAAGGGAGCTCTCTATGACCACATCGTCAGTCTGGCTTAAGACATTATGCTTTGCTCCAAGTGGAATATGGCTCGTTCCTAATTTATCATCATCTGGGATGGGAAAGTAGTCTCCGTGGTGTAGTGGGAAGACACTCGCCTGGCGTTCCGCGAGCGCTTTGTCATGGGTTCGTATCCTGGCCGGGGAGGATTTACTGGGCGCAAATCCTTAACTGTAGTCTCTTAACTCAACAGTAAAATGGGTACTTGGTTGTAACAACGATTCTTCGCGGCGGGGATCGTATTCCAGGGACCTGCCCGAAACGCTACGCGTACTAGTGGCTGTACAAGAATGTAACAACTCTTGTATATATCTCAAAAAAAAAAAAAATGACAGGGATAGTAATCTGGAAAGGAGTGATCTTCCATAGTGGAGGGAAATGCTGTTGTTGTCTCTCTCGGTTGAGATCATGAACAATTGTTGTAATCCATTCTGAGCGCTACTGACCCGCGATAAAGAATGGTTGGAGGCGTCACTGTAGAGCCGGGGTGGGCTAGTCTTACCATCTTGATACCAATTAAACCATTGAATTCAGTTATTCCATCACCTACACCGTATGAGATGGAGTCCTTTCCTCATGTTTAGTAAACTAGCTGTACAGGACTATTACACGATGATCCTCATGGCTTCGTGTTTTGTTGTCAGCCGTCCAAGCATTATTACTGGCACTAGAGCCAGCACGAGTGCCACATAAACAAGTAGCGACCAAATATATGAAAGGTACATAGTTTGGCAATTC